AAAACTATACAAAAATGATAACACAGTAGATTCCCCGTAATGTGGCCACCGGTTAATGTGGGCAGCCGCCTAATGTGGGGTATGGGCATAATGGTCCGGTCCCAATTCGAACGTATAACAATACGAATTTCACAAGGGGAAAATGTACGAAATATATTAGTATAATATTAGGATTTTTTTTTTTTTTTTTTTTGTGGACAACTTTTCTACAGGTAATTTTGCTCCGATTTATAATGATGGCAATTTTTCCAAAAACAAAATCTGACTAGGAAGGTACTTTGTAGAGGTTATTTTTCGATTTTTTGAAGATAGTTTTCCTAGCAAATATGAAAAAACCGGAGAAAAACACGGGAAAAACGTGAAAAAATCGGTACATTAAACAAATATTATTAAAGAAAATATCTATGCCTATCTAATTATTTCACTTTAATACGACATATTGCATTATATTGATGACCAAGCATCACTATAAACTGAACTCGTTCAGAATCGTTTTTTTCGTTAGCAATGGTTTATCGTTGCTTACAGGTATACATTAAATTATTTATAACAATGACTGCACATGTCACCCATCCTAAGGAGTCTTTTTTAAGTTTGTTATTTTAATTTTATTTATCATAGGAAGTCTTGTTTCATCAGCTCCGTTTCTGCCACTTTCAAATTTCAATACTAAACCTACACAGTATTATGTAATTTTTTTTCGTAAAATTTTTCACCTTTTTAAATTTTTTCAATTATATTATTTTTTTGATCTTTCGATAATTATCGTTTTCGGGATTCAGCGTTAAGGTTTCAGCTATTTCTCTTACGAAACACTTTACAGCATCTCGTATACTTCTGTGTTTTCACGAACGGAATCAATGAGATTCTTTATGCGTAATTTTTGTATTTTTTTTAAAAAAACATTATTTAAAAATATTTGTTTAGTAATCTGTATCGACGAAACCTTTATAACAATAATAATACTGCCACGTTTTGAAATGTGGTGGCTTTATTGCGTAGTTATAGACTTTCTTAGCCGACCACAATAAATCAATATTACCTCATTTATATTTGAAACGCGGACGAAAAAAAAACTGCCACATTTCGGTTTGCGGCAGTAGTCAATGAATTCGCTCGGTATTTTGTTTTATACGTCAGTGGCCACAATCTTAACGATTATTTCGCTTCGTGGCGTTTACGATATTTAGTTTGATATTATTCAAAACAGACACAATACCAAATGACGTGTCAGTTTTTTTTCAGATAGATACCTGTTGCTAAACTACCATACAATTATTTTCTGATGTCTGACGCAATTTAATGCGATTTAATATCACTTTAAGATACCAATTTGCAAGCTCCAGATAAAACAAACTGCCAGTCATTAAAATTAAATCTTCAATAATAACCATTTTAACTGTGAATTTTCACTAAACTGTGTGTTTTGAGGCAATCTAGTAACAAGGATGAAAATCATGTCCAGCGTGTAATACGTACAATTCATATATTTGTACACATAATACAAATTATTGTACATTACGAATAGTAACTATATTTTCTACTATTAATACTCTATTAAAAGTAACTATTTAAGATTCTGAGTGTGGCGAAAAATGTATTAGTTTTACTAAGATGTTTATTCTTTTCTTTATTATTCTGTGTACAAAAATTCTACCAGTGATTTTGCTCAGATATATACGCGCGGCATCATTTCTAAAAAAAGAATGTTTTCCAGATGGTAATATTTGGAGATCATTTTTTTGATTTTCCAAATGGTTTAAATAATATCTGGGAAAAACCAGAATAAAACATAAAAAAAACGAAAATTTACAAAAATGAATGCTTTTATTATTTTTCAAATTTTTCATTTGTTGTAATTCAGTTTAAAATATTCTTAGAGACTTAAATTTTCGATAGAAAACTTATATTTTTCTTTTTTAAGTATGGTAAAATTTTCGAAACATTTGGGCTATTTCAGGGCTTTTTAAACGAATTAAAATATTTTTGTTGAAATCCAGTTTAAAATATTCGTATACTTAAAATTGGAACAGAAAATTTATATTTGTATTTTCTAGACGTAGTAAAATTTTAAAAAAATTTAAACCGTTTTTGAGCTATTTATTTACATTTTAATTTTGCGAGTTGTGTACGTATATTTATTAAGTAGGTACTCTGTGGTAAAATTGTTAAACTTAACAGTAATGCTTAAAAATTTAACAGGAGGTTCATTAAGATTCTTATTTAGTGGTCAAAAAAGAAAATTACTCATAACAGTGGCTGCACCCGTCTCCATTATCCTAGGAAGTCTTTTTATGTATATAGATAAACAATTACCATTCATAACTGTCCAAAATATTGTATTCAAATATAGTGGGTTAATAATGCAGTCATAAATTTCATTACAAGAAAAATGTCCCGACAATAATATCGTAAACAATATTAAGGTCACGCGTCATAAAATATTTTAGTATTCCACTATTTGTTAAGTCGCTGATAAAAAAAATAATACCAATTATTTCAGAATAAAAGTGTTTCGTTATTTTAACAAGAGATAAATTAAAAGATATATAATAATAACAATGTCAATTTGTATTATCATCATGCGTTCTGTTTCTATTACAAAACTCAGTCGTAACCCGGCGGCGTTCAGATGTTTTACAAACCATACAAATATAGGAATTGTTAAATTAATTTCATATCATATTCATCAAAAAGAAAGAATCATTATAATTTACTCATACTCATATACCATTATATAATGAGACAGTGTTTGATTGTTGATCCGCATAAATCTCAAAAACTACTGATTCGAATTGAAAAATCCTTTTAGTGTTGAATAGTCCATTTATCGAGGTAGGCTACAGGCTATTGACATCCACCCCCTATTAAAAACCATCCCACGAAAATCAGTTTTTAGGTATTATTATTTATTTGTATAATCTAAGTAACATGGATGAAATGAAATAAAAAAATTAAAAGGTTGGTCAAAACGTATTTATGGTATCTATGGTAACTAACGTGTTGTTATTGCCAAAATTCTCAAATCAGTTATTAAGTTAATTAGTTGTAATGGTCCCTGTGGTGATGCCAACGCCGGGCAAGACAGCCAAATAGGGGGACTACCCACTTTCCCTATTTGTTTTCATTCAAAAATAAATACAAGTAAAACAAAAAAAAAACCTCGTACGGGACAATTAGTAAGTTTTATAATAACAGTAATTTTTTTTTTTTTTTTTTATATATTTTATTTCTCCCGTAAATATTGTAATAATACTAATTTACTAATACATTAGGTAATGCAGTGGCAGAGTATTTAAACTCGCCGGTAACTGTATGATATTCATATTTGAATTGAAAGTAAAATGAGTTGACATATACGGAAATTGTCTGACAAAAAGTGTTAAAACGTGTTTTAAAAGTCTAGTGAAATCAGCTCGATTTATTTTATCAATAATCAGACTGTTGTCGAACACGTGAATACTATAAAATTGTGTATTGGTCGATAAGTATCTACCTATGTAAATGTATTCCACGTTAATTTTTCTAGTTGAAGCAAAATCGAAAAAACTATAGTGAAATTAGCTATTATTAAAATACTATTTTTTTATTACTAACTATATATACGTATACAACATTTTTGATTGTAAAAATAATGAAAAATATTTTTAAGACTTACGGAAATGGATTCTGTAAGGAGTTTTTTATCTTTTTACTTTTTCGAAAGCTGTTAATACTACCTGACATTTTAAACACTGCAAGTGCCGTCGAAAGTCCCGCTTCACTTCGGTTTAGGATCTAAACAAATAAGCAGTAAAAAATAAAATTACAGTTTATTGCAAGTGTTTCGTACATCGTCGTGTTATACACATCGTACACGATAGTGTTATAGTAAGTAGGCCACTGTTGTAACTTGTAATTAGAAATTCGGGGTAGTAAGATATGCAGGGTAATTATTCAGTTTGTATTCTGTATATAACGATAAATCATTGCTGACGAAAAATGATTCTGAACGAAATTCGGTTTAACATGTTTTAAAATGCTGTAATTTTTACGATTTTCATTAAAATTTAAACGTAAAACGCTTATAAATAAACAAATTATTTAATTATGTTTAATTTATTTGATTTTTTTTTTATGACTAAATATAACTTAATGTGATAAACCTCTTGTTATATTTGCCAGTATTTTTATTGGGCTAAAACAATTGTATCCACATAAAACCGAATAAAAATTTAACAATTTAAAACGATTATAAATAACTATAAATAAAAATTGTTTTGAAATATTGAATATTTTTAAAATATTAACACATCTAGAAAAGAATACTATCAGTATTATGTGCAAATTCCCACGACACTTCTAATCGAATTACAAAAATAAAAAACAAAATCGAAATTAACAGAAATAATTATTGTTCAAATTTAGCAAATTTACGGAGTTCAATTCGTGTTTATTAACGATGTACTCGGCATTATTTATTATTCGATTAAATGGATATTGTCAATATGAAATTAAAAAAAAAAAAAAATCATCAATCGACCTTTGCGCGTTATTTGTCCCCGTGAAACTCTTTTGATCGCCGACACAAGGCCGAGGACGACGATGAAAAACAACATGATTTTACTGAAAAAAATAATCAAATATAGAATTTCAATGGGATTATTCCTAATGGCGATTTTCTGTGGTCACGGATATGTCCGTACGTTTCCGGGACACGCATTACGACAATAGTATTTAAATAGCACCGTGATCGTCCAAACGGTCATCAGTTGTTTGTTCGACAGACACGTGTAAAACCAGACAGACCGATCGGAAATAATCGTCATCTTCTATTTTTATATGGAAACCGTACGCTTTTCTGCAGCTTTTTTTCGTATTCATGTTGTATTAATTACTGTACGGTAATTTAAAATTCAACATCCAATTTTTTTTCACTGGTTATAATATAACCACCCGTCCGTTCGATTATATATGTATATATAAACTTATACGTTATATCAAAATATTACAAGAAAATTGAAAATGTTTTCTAGTCTCTCGTTCAAAGAACGGCAACATATTTTAAACGAATTCCCAGAATTGTCGCCGAATCTGATCAAACGTTACGAAAAGACATTCTCGAGGTGAGTAATATAATTTGTTTTTGTGTTAGCCGTACACCCGTAATACATAACACGTGATATTTGAATAATAATTTATGGAGTAAAAAAAAAAAAAAAAAAAACAATCGTTTAACGGGAATCAGTCACCTGAGCGCTTTACTATTTGATCAAAATTACGATCAAATGATCGTAGGCGATTTTCGCATTATTATCGCTAGATAAGAGTTTTACCCGAATAGGTAATTTTCGATTCCTGTGACCTTCCTGTCGTGGTTTTTCCATTTTAACCGCCCGCAGTTTTGTCTAAACCGGCGTGGATTTTTAACCTCTAGGTTTTAGGTTTTCGTTTAGCACAGTTCCTTGGTTTAGGTTTTCGTGCCGAGCGGGTACCCGTTGATAATATGGAACGTATCGCGTAAACTCAATGATGTAGGCGCCTACCCCGTTCTTTATTATCGAATATAGAATATCTATAATATTATCGAAAACTGAGAACATTTGATAATTTTCATATTTGTGTCTTCAAAATTTATACTCGGAGTCTCAAACACAGGACAAACGGTTGATTATGTTGAATCATACTTCATTGAGTTGTAAATCTAAAAAAAAAAATTGTTATTGATTATCAATCAATAATAATTGTAATTCTGATTAATGATAATACTACTCGTAAGCCTTAATATTACACGTTTATATTGAACAAAAACCGATAACTCGTGAAAACTTTGATAGTATACAGTTGTTTGTCATATTCTTTGCACCCGCAGAATATCCTCTAATATCACTCACTATCTATGCACCTAAACCAAGAGTCGGTTTTTTTTTTTTTATTCTCGATAAAGTTAATAAATATCAGTGCGTGTTTACGATATAGGTATGACACGGACAACGATGGATATTTAAACGTCGAGGATCTTAAAGGCATGATGATGGTGCGCGGTGTGCCATGGACTCATTCGGCGATCGTACGGCTCATCCGGGACGCAGACGAAGACGGCGATGGAAAATTGAGTTTCCGTGAGGTATGTGGTTTTTTTTTTCATTCGCCTTAAATTCTAGTTTACTATATAATATATTATTTTTATCATTTTATATGTAATAATATTATGGACAATAGTGTAATAGGTAACATTGGTCATTAAATTACCGGGCATAGATTAATTGTTCATTTTTTTTAAATTGTTATGCCTACCTAGCGTAATTTTCTCGTAAAGCCAACAAGTCGTAACTGTCTCCAAGAACCTATTAATTTTTTTTTTGAATTCTGAGTTGAGAGAAGAAGTTCATGGTTTTACAAAGATGTTTATTTTTTTATTGTTTTTTTTCTACTAACAACTTTACTTCCTACCAAATATCTTGCTCCGATTTTTAAGTGTAGCACCTTTTCTGAAATCGGAGAGGGAAAATACTTTAGGGAAGTCATTTTTCGCTTTTCTCGGGAGTTTTCCCAACAAATGTGAAAGACCATGGGAAAACCGGGGGAAAAGTAGGAATATCGGGAAAATCGGTACAACATAAAACAAATATTATTAAAGAAAATATATCAAGCCTATGTAATTATTTAACTATAAAATGACATACACCTTGTTGACCAAACATCACTAACAACTAAACTCCGTTCAGAATCGTTTATTTCGTAAGCAACGGTTTTTCGTCGCTTGCAGGTATACATTAAATCACCTATAACAGTGCCTGCATCCGTCCCCATTATCCTAGAACGTTTTTGTATACACCTACTTTCTAGTAATAAAATAAAAATGAACCAAAAGTTTATTTATCTTTCATTGATAGAAACCAGAGACCACTACTGAGACTCTATTATTTGTCTACTTTTATCATAATTTAATCATGAGTTAATATCGTTTTAAGAACTCAGAATAAGATTAAACAAATAATTTATTCAAATTATGTACCTTTTAATTTCGTCCAGATACATTATTAATTATTTACAAATATATTGCATAAAAAAAAAAAAACTATGCACCAATGTTTTGTATTTTTTTTTTTTTTTACTTAAATTATGTAGGTAAAGTATACGTAAATACTAAATACCAATGACGTATGAGAATCTTTAACTATTATAAAGCTAGTAATTTTCCATTAAACGAATGCAATGACGTACCTACGAATTAGGTTTATGATTGTACCTAGTAGGCAAAGTCAACTATTAACTTATAGTTAAAATTTCTCTAAAAATTTCAAACTGGACTTATAATTCCCCAAATCGATTTATACGTTCGAAATCACTTTAACTTGGCCCCCAGTCAGTGGTGGATTTATTTTTAAGTCTAAGGGGGGGGGGGAGTAAAATTGTAATGTATTCAGTGCCGCGATTGAGGCGCAGAGCTAAGTAAAAGATAAAGAGCTCGTGCATCGACAGCAGTATATTACACGAGACGGCCAACTCCTATTAACCTGTGTAATTTTACAGCAAATGACCTCTTTGTAGCCTAAAACAAATGGACAGATTGTTTGAAATTCATAATGATACTTTTGAAAATTTCAAACTGATCGGATGATTACAGCTCGAGTAATATGTAAAAGTATTGGCATAGTTTTTACTCGAAACTCTATTAGTTTCAACAATTCAAAAATGTATATGTTTTACGCGCTGTTACCACTTGTTTGCGACGGTGACCGTTTGCGGATAAACAATTTTGTTTATTTATTCTATCGCTATTACTATAGGATCGTTTTCCAGCAACATTCATAAGCTATATTCATAACTGTACGCACACATAATTTCGTACGCTCGCAATCGTCTCCGGGCCTGATTTCCGCCCTCGATTTCATCGTCGGGCTCCGTGCATTGGAAAACGTGACAGCTATTCCACCGTCACCGGTTTGGCGTCCAGAGACGTAAAAACTATTCCGCTTTCCTCTTGGTCCTCCGTTTTGGAAACATGTTCGTCCGGCGTAGATAAAATTTCCTACTGTTCCGGAACTTTTTCTTCCGGCTCGGGAACATTTTCTACCGGTTCTGGAACCTTGTTTTCCGGTTTTTAAACTCGATGGCCGTTGAACAGGCTCCGCGACATTTGTGTGGTACACGTTCATCGTCGCGGGTGCAGTCAAAAACAACAATCAACAGCATGATATCGAATGAATATTGACGGATGTAAAACAATAATTGCATTATAGCGCAAACAATAGAGAATGGAACTAATCATTTACAACGGCCACATGAATGTCATAAAGTACAGTTCATAAAAAAACATTAGAATACGTATATCACAGAAGAAATAAATAGGTTTCATTTTATAAAAATAATGGGTCATTGTAACACGTCAAACGACCTATTTTAACAAATTTTAACGACATATATTAGGTTAGGAGGTTAGATTAAGACGATTTTTGTTTTAATACATTTCACACAACTTTTGAATATTTTTTTTTTTTTACCTACCTATTGTAAACGGACCGTGCTCAAATGATACACTGTCGCTGATGCGCAAATGATGTACGAGTTTTTGGGCCAGGTAAACAAACGATGCGCAAACGATAACAGCCGTTTGGCCGACCGATAATTTAATCCTTCGTTTCCGGTTTGAAATTTCACACTCGAGTGTAGATGCTGGCCACTGTGGCTATAATTCCCTTTCGTCATTTTTCATATGGATACCTATAGTACTCCCCTAATTATATTAATCGATATTACATCACTATTCACAAAAGATAACCTTAGGCAATTTTCCTGAAACGAAATTTGACTAGGGAGGTACTTCAAAGAGGCCATATTTCAATTTTCTCAAGGTTTATCTCAACAAATATGAAAAAAACGAAAAAAAAACGGAAGAAAAACGAGAAAACGTAGGAAATACGGGAAAATCGGTTTATTAAACAAATATTGTTAAAGGAAATATATGGCGCCTATTTAATTATTTTACCGCAATATAACATATATTGTTGACAAAGCTTCACTATTAACTGAACTCCGCTCAGAATCGTATTTTTCTTAGCAATGGTTTATAACATTTTTTTCCAGCTCGTATTTTATTCACGCCCGCTCGGATCACCGCGATTCGACTGTTTCGACGGTTTTCACGTACCCGATTTGCACATCGACAAACGTTGTTGTGATTTATCGCAGAGCTACTTATTTGTCGAATGTTTTTGAAAAACGAACTCCGCATCAAGTCAATACTTGCCGAGATACCGAGATACAGTGTTTCGCTTTTACGTTTATCGCTCTGTATTCCGCGATACGCCCACGTGACTAATATTCTATATAGACAAAAAAAAAAAAAACTACCCCCCCGTGAACGCCTCCCGGGGTGACGGGAGAAGACTGCGGGTGTTGACGTCACAATGTTGTGTGTTGAAGACGATCCCGGTCGAGATGCGGGCGATACGGCGATAATAATATAATATTGTAAAGAATGTTTTAAACTTTCGGGATTCCGCGCGATTCCGTACGCGATATACTGTACACCCATACAACATTATATTACACGAGGACACGGGAGTAAGAAAATTGTTTTGCAGTTTAACGCGGTGTAATAAAATTAAAATATTTTAATCACTTTGTGTAATAAACGGTTGAGTGCGCATATCCGTGATGAATGTGCCGCGCATTCTCTACGTGCCTTTAGTGTCCGGTGTATACAACGAGCAACAACAACAACAACAACAACAACAACAACAACAATAATAATTATAATAATAATATATAATTTTAAAATAGTTCGCATAGATGAATGCAATCGCATACGGACACGCCGACAGTAATAATATTATACCGCGGTAAGTGAAATTTACCGCCCGACGCTCGGCTGTATTATATACGCTCGTCTCTCTCTCTCTCTCTCTCGCTCTCCAGTATTTTCGTCGAAAATCGCGAAACGCGTGTACGCGCGCCGGCGATATTCGGTTTAAATCGTTTTCGTTTTCGCGATTTTACCGGTAATTATGATAGTATACATACAACCGAGACGTGATCGCCACTGGCCGTTGTCGAATCGCCAAAACCGTCGACACCTCTCCGAACCCGGTGCGCCGCCGTTCGCACATCGGAGGATTTCATATTCCCCGGTAGTGGCGGCGCACGCGATCATCTCGCATCAAACTCGATTATTTCATCTGTCCGAACGGGGGCCGGATTTAAAACGTTTACCGCCACACACGCGGGGTACGCTACGCGGTGTCTGCTTGTTGACCGTTCCGTATTAAGTTTTTTCGATAACCGGCGATCAAAAGTCGAACAATTCGTTTGGTTTTGTTTTTTTTTCTTTTACATCTAAAATTCTAACGTTATTAATTTACTACGAATGAACCGAACAAGAATATCGAAAGAGATTTCAGTTAAGCGAATAACAGTAATAACATCGTATTTTATTCAAGATTTATTACATTCAAGTTCAGAATTGGTAATAAAAGCAGAAATACATTTTCGGAACGCGAAATGCAATAAAATAGAAACGAATGTTCCCCGTACTGCTGTTACATCATTCCCATATTGTGAAGCATTTTTTCCAATTATCAAATTATCGGCTATGCTCCCGGTAGCAACTGTTGAAAAGTCATTATCTAACTTAAGGAGATTATTAAAAAATTGCATGCGCACAACTATAACTGAGTCTAGGCTGAACGGCTTAGCTCTATTAAATGTTCATACAGACGCACATAGATATTGACTTAGTCGTAAGTGAATTTCCTAGAGAAGTAATGGAGAATGCATTTAGAGGGCTGGAAAATCTAAATTATAAATGTAAACTATTCAAATTTTAAAATGTATACATTGTATTATGTACCTACACACTACATGTTAAAAATAATAATGAATTTATCATTTAATCGTTTGATACAGTTATATATCTTAATAATTATATGTCGAACTGTTTATGTAATACATCCAAAACAAATGCGCATTGCAAGACTGATTTTCCTAGTCAAATTTTAGGCTTCAAATTATAATTTTTTTTTTTTCCATAGTAACTAATAAGTACCTTACGATTATTATACGCAAACTATTATACCCACCATCAAAAAAAAAAAACCAAAATTCGCCCCTGTGTCCGATGATATGCATAATATTATACATACATACACACATACATGCATACATACATACATACATACATACATACATAGCTTTTTGGTTAAATTTTGCATATATTCAAATTCTGATTTTTAGAATTCTTAAATGTAGTTAAAGCCGATGAGCGTCCTAAGTGAATCACCCTGTATAAATATGTAAATATATTATATACAGGTCCTTCACCTGGGATTAACTGTTGCTGCGATATCGACGTAATTAAATTCAGTGGCGTCCCAAACTTTAAATGACATGAGAAGAGATATATCGTTTTTTTATCGCCCCCATCCAGTAATTTGTATACTTTGCCTGTAGCAATATAGCCGTTATATTGTTATGCTTAACAATGTGTCCCTCCTAAGCAAACAGATTTCACGAGACACCACCCGCCCACACTATAAAATTCAGAATCATCGGCCGTTTCTGGAAACAACGGTTCGCCACGCCTGCGCTGTAATTACATTCGGACGGAGACTTTAGAATACGACCGTGGTATAACACAGAGCGATTCGCGAAGTAATCATAACGGAATACAAAAATAGTGTTTACTTTTAAAAAAACGTTGGTTTTACAAAAAAATTGTATCACCTAAATTTAACAATAATAATTGACTGTTATTTTTAACCACAATTTGTGGAATATTAATACTAGTATTAACATTTTTTTCTTTTTCTTTTTTTCGCAGTTTCTGATTACACAGCGCAAAAATGTGGAATGGGCTCGTCGAGTGTTGTGCGCCCTGCCCGAGATCGACGTGGGCCGCGTAGGCGTCAAAGGAGCCAAAAAATATTTTGAAGCCAAACAACCGTTGCCAGTAGCGGCTCATCACAAACACATGACACATTGATAATAATATTTTAAGCACGGTTTTTTTTTTATTTTTTTTATTTACATACATACGTAATGATGGTCATGCATTATTTATGAAACATTTGGAAATCGCAGAAGATTTCTTAACCAGACGAGTGTATTTTTGAGTCTAAACTGTTTAGCACGTTGTGTACCATTTGAACGGTACGATAAAACGTTTATATCAGTTATTTATAATATTATTATTATGCTTAAATTTAAAATATTGTTACGCAAAATGTAAAATATTGAAATAAATAATATATAGTTCGATTTTAATTTTCGCATCCGTTAAATGCGTGTGTTTTGTTTGGTTTTTCAACTCAAATTTGAATTCGAATCTATCCGATTTTATCAAAGTGGTATAGTATTTAATCTTTCAGATCTGGAATTGATATTTTTCGTATAACAATATTTAATAACGTGTTGATTCATAAGACAAAATTATTTTTTTTACTAAGTCATTATTAGAGGACATCACGCGTTTACGGGGTTGATATAATATTACTAATATTAATTCTTGGAGGAATTGATGATTCGTACTTGTTGGTTACTCTAATTAGAAGAAAAATGGAGAAAAAGAATATCAGATTTTAGATTTTGAGTGGAGCGAAAATGGTTTTACAAAGATGTTAATTTTTTTTTCTGTGGAAAACTTTTTACCAAAGAACTTGCACTGATTTTTACGTATACCGCTTTTTCTGAAAGAAAATCGGTGTGGGAAGGTACTTTACTAAGGTCATTTATCGATTTTCTTAAGAGTTTTCTCATCAAATACGAAAAACCGAAACAAAACTGAAGAAAAATGGGAAAATGTACGAAGTATATATTATTACGATTTTTTTTTTCTGTGGACAACTTTTCTACCAGCAATTTTGCTTCAACTCACCTTTAATGATAGCAATGTTTCTAAAAATAAATCTAACTAGCGAGGTACTTTAGAGAGGTAATTTTTCGATTTTTCAGGAGTTTTCCCATCAAATGTGAAAAACTGGGAAAATCGGTACATCATTAAACAAATATTGTCAACGAATATAAAGAAAATATACATATAAAGCCTATTTAATTATTTTACTGACATAAATTATATATTGTTGAAAAAACATCACTATCAACTGGACCTTGATCAGAATCGTTTCTTCGTTAGCAATGGCTTGTCGTTGCTTACAAGTGTACAGTAAATTACCTATAACGGTGGTTGCACCCGTCCCCATTATCCTAGGATGTTTTTTTTTTATATTTGGTATTTTCTGGATCATATTTTCAACTTTAAATTACACATTTATTGTCATTGTCAATCAAAAATATCATATCAACATTTTTCAAAAATATTTGATGGAAAACCTTAAACGTGACAAGAGTTACGTCGTTAATTTTACGATTTTTGTAAACTGCATAATCTGTAGATAATAATACGGCATGCGTTTTGTATAAGATGAACCAATTTTAAATGGTGATAAACAACACTTAAATGAAATATCCTTCTCACGGGACATCACAGGTCTGACGGGGTAGTGGACGTCAAGTATCGTCCGATATTGCGGTTGGGTGCCTAGATAAACAGTACGCCGATCGTGTTAAGGATTTCTCGGGTCGACGTGTTTTCATCGCGATGCGTTCCCGAATTACACATTCGTTCGGTGTACTATGGACGACAACGAAACGAAAATGCGAGCGTTTCGAACGCGCTTTCACGAACTCGGCCGCGGTATTAAAAATGTTTTACATCGGTCTAAAACACGTCGGCGCAACCGTGTATTGATGTACATTCGGCAGAATAATATTCAAACAGACAATTGAGAATACACAATGATATAATATCGCATATTGTACATTCACAATACGTATTGTAATATACATATATACATTTCAAACGGGGTGATTCGAGCCGAATGCGATTTAAATACATTATACACATTACTGGATTTATATGGCCTTATACGGCCACCCTTGTAATCTCGCACCAGCTCGTATACGCGCACTTACTTATTATAATCCTTTCTAATCTAGTTTTACACGTCGCAATTAGTTAAATTTATTTAAACCGAATCATTCGGACGCTTTGAGTTTATTATTTAATAACGTTAATGCGAATCGCGCTGTATGATAATGAACGGGTTAGTCCCGCGACGGTTCCACACCCCCCCTCCCCCCCCCCGCGTGCGCACAAGAAAAATATTGTGAACATTGTTGTTGGGAAAAAAAAAAAAAAAACCAACTATATAGCTTTCAAACAAACGAACTCGGGCTCGTTATAGTGTATTGTAAACAACAAACTCTCTGGACGTACAATAATAATATATTATTAAAACGCTTGATTGGCGTTTCGGGGATTGTTGTTTGGATTATTTACAGGCGTGTAAAAACACAAAGAAAAGCCTATTGAAAAGAAAAACCAAACAATATGTTTAATATGTTATCGGCGGGTATTATTTTTAAAACAAACAGGATGTACCGATAAAGAGCTTGTATTAATAATCAAAGAACACGCGGTGAATATTATTTAAAATAATTTCCAACATTATATATTTTAGATTCTGAACGTACGGATATTTCGTGATATTGTATTCGTCAAAACATTGGGTTATTATAATACCGCGTGCGCAACCGAAATTTATACGTATACGTTATACATGCCTATAGCATCCTATGGTATAGGATGCTATAGTCCCGAGTTCAAACCCGTGTTTCGAAAAAAAATTGTTTGCACTTATTTTTTCCGTTTTACCTAAACAGAAAAAAACCAAATGCATTTTAGGTATACCTAGAGACCCAGTCATTGCTCGCTCGGACTATTTTAATCGCAAAATACCCCTCGATTTTTTGTGCAAACTTTCCCACCAGAAATCTTGTTCCGATCTATCAAGTGTAGCTCATTATGTGAAAGGAAATTTTATCTCCATGGTAATTTAGAGAAGTCGTTTTTCGGTTTTTCAAGCGGTTTTCATAATATCTGAGGAAAACCGGGATAAAACGGAAAATATACGAAACGTACGTATTAGTAAAATAATATTATGGCCTTTTCTGTGTGCGACTTTTCTACCAGCGATTTTGCTCCGATTTAAAATAATAGCACTTTTTCTGAAAGAAAATCTGATTGGGAAGGTACTTTAAGGCGGTCATTTTTCGATTTTCCCAGAAGTTTTCCCGTTGAAAAATCTGAAAAAAACACGAGAAAATCTGTACAATATTAAACAAATATTGTTAAAGAAAATATATAATGCCTATTTAATTATATCACCATAATAAGATATATATATATATATATTGTTGACAAAGCATCACTATCAACTGAACTGCGCTCAGAATCGATTTTTCGTTATCAATGGTTTATCGTTGATTACAGATATACATTAAATTACCTATAACAGTGGCTGCTACCATCTCATATGACGTCTGTTTTTTTTTTATATTTTCACATTTTCAAACATTGAAAAATAAATTTTTTTTTTCTCGATGTAACTTGTTTTACGGTTTGCTTTTGTATTGCGTTTCATTAAGTCATAACTGAATAATATTTCAGTGTTGGATTCGTTGTAAACTTTAAAGTTTTTTTAAATTGATCTCGTGCTGTAATAAACAAATATTTATAATTTCAAAAATTAAAACAGATTGAACTATTTGTGAAGGCTATTGTTACATTATGTTAATGGTTTCAATTTATTGTGAAAAATTGTTAAAAAGCTACGGGCAATTTAGAACTGTTCAGTGACTTAATAAGACGTGATACTCGCATTTACTGTCTCAGTCCAACTAACTGGCAACATAGCGAAAACATGTCAACGCGCTACGCATACTGAGTAGAACTAGCTTGATTTTGATTTTAACTAACAAATAAGACGATATTTGGGAGGGCATATAAACAAATTACGAATAATAAACGATGACAGAGAAAGAGAAAATGTTTGTACTTTTTTTTTTTTTTTTAATCCTGGGTCTAGAAAAACGTTTCTCCCCTACCTCAGCATTTTAGTCTGTAGAAAGTCCAAACAAAATCAGAACGATTTCAAACAAATATTTAAAAAAATCACCACTAAATGGTTTTGTAAAACCCGAAATCCAAAAATCCAGGCAGTGTAACGTACGTCGTTATCACAATCGTTCCCAGCTTAACGCTCTGCAGTACATCATTAACAAATAAAGAAAATGTCAATACTTTAAAACAATTAACTTCACTGCGTATACTGCGCGCACCCTGTCTTTTTTTGGTTTTATATTAGGTACTTTTACTTAATAAAACTTACTAAATAATTTACATTACACACAATATTTTTTTCTGACCACAAAAAAAGCACGACTTATAATGAAACCCCTGTTAAATTTTCAAACATTCCTATTTGGTCTAACGATTTTGTCCACAGAGTACTTGAAAAATGGATATTATGAAAAAATATAAAAAAATTTAAATTGTTCCATAAACAGCTCGAAAATAGCTAAAATAGTTTAAAAAATATACAACGCCTAAAAAATCAAAATATAAGTTTTCTGTCAAAAAGGTCGAGACTCTACGAATGGTTTTAACTGAATCGCAACAAAAAAACAAAATTGAATATTCGGTAAGCTCTTTGTAACGAATATTAAGGGACCAAGACATTTTTTTTTTCATTTTAGAGAGTTTTCGCAACAGCGAAGGAGAAAAATAATAATCCATGTGCTATCAAGCTGCAAACCAATCATTATTAAATAACTTTTTCTTTACATAGAGTTTACCGTTAAAAATAGCTTCATTATATAGATTTTCAACTGTGATACATTTCGCAAATTTTCCTGTGTTTCCTACCTTTTTCCGAAATCAATAAATAATGTTAACATTTTTTTCCAGAAAAGGTGCCACAATTGAAAATCTGAACAAGATGTCTGGTAGAAAATGTATTCACAGAAAAATAAATAAACACCATTGTAAAACCAGTACGCATTCCTCGCTCAGTTCAGAATCTAAAATGAACTGCATGCATTCCCTATACCAGAAGTCTTGCTCCGATTTTTAAGTGTAGCACTTGTTTTGAAAGGAAATCCGACTGGCGAGGTACTTGAAAGAGATACATTTTTCGATTTGCTCGAGAGTTTTCCCAGCAAATGTGAAGAACCGGGAAAAAACCTTGGAAAAACGGGAAAAACGGGTACACCGAACAGATATTATTAATGACAGTGTACAGTGCCTGTTTAATTGTTTTATCGCAATACGACATATACGGTATACATTGTTGGTAAAACATCACTATCGACTCAATTCCGGTCAGAATCGTTTTCTCTCGTCGGCAACGGTTAACCGTATGCTAACAGATGTACATTGAATCGCACTGTAAAAACAGTGGCCGCGCCCGCCGTACCCAGGACGTATTTTTAATTAAATTTTAATTTAGATAATTGTCGATTGTTGTTTCACAAAAAAGAACTGTGTTGCGCAGCGCCCCCCCCCCCCCCCCCGAACAATTCTATCCCCGAGGGTTTACATCAGTTAGCCTGTCAACCCGTCGGTTAAATAGGCTCGCCGACGTAAACCCTATCGTCGTACGTGCGTTATTGTGTAATATCTACGGTAATAATTACTTATGGAACTCGGGGCTCGCCGACATTACAATGCGGACGACAGTGAACGTTGTGCGGGACGGCGACATCCGATCGCGAGTACGCCAGAACATTCGTGATCCGATGTCCGCGACTTTTTGATCGGTTTTTTTTCATTATTATTATTATTATTATTACCCCGACGTAAAAAAAACCGTGTCATATTCAAGTGTGTCGCGCGCGATAATATTGGACCGTTCGCGATGCGATCCGGCGTACCTTCCGTTACAGTCGTAATGTCATTACGGCGACGCGACGCTCGCAAAACAAACAATCCGCGGACAGGCGCGCGCACCAGTGTTCGCCGGTGTCAGACCGTCGAGAACGTGGAATAAAAAAAAAATAAAAAAAAAATAATGAATGTTAATAGACAATACCACACATTGGCGGCGTGATGTCAGATTTCTGACAAGGACGACGCGGCGGGCCTGTGTACACCTCGGCGGTAGGTGTATCGTTGTGTTTGCCATTTTCGAATAATAGTTTTTGACGCGACTGTTAACGAACAAACAGCGCTCGTCGCCGCCGCCGCGATATTGGGTATCCGTTGAAACGGCGGGCTATGATAATAGCCCGCGTGCGCGCCCGCAGTCCGTACGCACACGCGTCGCGTATTGTGCTATTGTACCAATGCGTCGACGTCTGTTTCACGTGTGTTTGTTTGCGTGTTGTGACAGGTCGGACGGGGAAAAAAAAATAATAATAATAATAATAATGGGAAAAAAAAAATAAAATATGTACGGAAAAAAAATAAATATCGATTGCGTACGGCCCGTGTGTGCGCGCGAGCGGCGCGTGTGTGCGAACACAACGGCCCGAAGCGCTCGCGTCTCAGTCCGAATGCGGTTTCATCGACGACAGTTTAACGTCTGTTCCCCCCCTATCCCCCGCCGTTTAATACGCGTTTTTACAGTCTTACAGCATTGATACGCGTCGAAAAACCAAATGTATTATTCTGCAGGGCGTCACGATCGATACCTAATGGTTCTCCTGTTGGCCGCGTACGTTATACGAGTATGTACCTAATAATATTTGCGTGTGTGTAATTTATTAATATGTTTAAAATGAAAAACGCAAAAAAGGGCGAGAAAAAAACCGCCGCGGTGGACCGGTTTGAAAACCCGTGGCCGGGCAGCGACCGCAGCCGAAGGGCCACGTTTGATACGTGACTTTTTTTTAATAACTTTTATCTATTAAACGAAACAAAAAAAAAAAAACCAGAATGTTTCAAAACGCTTTTCGGCGTTCCGATTTGAACGGATAGCTATTTGCTTTTACGTTATCCAATCTAGACAAATAATTTCAGGCCGTCGAGATGTGGAACGGTTTTTTGTTTGTTTTCTAGCTCTTTAATGGAAAACACTAATTAACCAGAATTATTGACCAAATGATTTTGTTCTCTTTTAAAAAACTTAATAAGATTATCGGATATAGGTACCTAGTTTAAACAATTATATCAGACAGTTAATAAGATGTATTGGTAAACTGGGTTTATTTCAAGTCTTCAACTTTGGCAGTTTCTTGGTTATTCTTCGGTAACTTATCAATTACCTATACACATTACTTCAAATAGTACAATAATGCTATACTGTAATCGCGTTAAATTTACATTCAGCCCAACGACATTAATTTAATCTTTTTTAGGAGAAAATTTAACTGAGTTTTTGCAATCGACTCTTTTGATTTTTCTTAATAATCGCGTTTAGAAGATGATCCCTAAATCGAATGAGCAGCCTTAATATAATAAGCTTAATAAGCCTCTGTATCGTAACAACAACAACAAAATAAAAAATAAAATAAATACAGTTATATTTTTTTTTTTTTTTTTTGTGTGTGGGTGTGTATTGATGTATTTGTTTCTACAAATTCTTTATTTTTAAATTCCGAGTGGAGCGAAGAAGCTTATGGTTGTACAAAGATGTTCATTTATTTATTTATTTTTTATCTGTGCACGACTTTTCTACCAACAATTTTACTCCAATTTATAATGATAACAGTTTTTCTAAAAGAATATATCACAAGAAAGGTACTACTTTAAGGAAATCGTTTTACGAATTTTCTCAATAGTTTTCTCGACAAATGTAAAAAACGGAAGAATAACGGGAATAACCGGAAAATCGGTACATGAAACAAACACATTTAAAGCCTACTCAATTGTTTTACTATAATATGGCATATGTCTTGTTGACAAAGCGTCACTGTCTACTGAACTCCACTCGGAATCGTTTTTTTTCGTAAACAACGGTTTATCGTCGCTTGCAGGTATACATTGAGTTACCCATGACGGTGGCTGCACCCGTCCCCGTTATCCTAGAAAGTATTTCTATTTTTATTTTTTTTTTTTTTTTTTTTTTTTTTACCGGTTACTGCAACGTGTACATTATTATTGTAATATTAATATCAGTTGAATCGACACTTAAATCTCCTCGGTATCGTTTGATTTTAATTTTTAAAACTACTCCACGGTAAGACGCACGGGGCCGGATCAATATCCCCGTTGTTATAATAGCGCTATTTGAAAATCGGTATACGTTCGTATTTTATACGATTTTAATTAAACGTTAAATTTCCGTTTAGATGTTATTTATCGACGTGAAATTATTATTATTATAATAATAATGCGTATTATAACGATAATACCGTAATAAAGTTTATCTACAACCGTTCGTGTCTCGCAAAGTATTTTAAGTTCGAAATTTAAACGACCGGATTATAATGACGTATTGTCATGTATTCAAGTTTTAATTGTGAACGACGTACATTTTCTCGAAATCGCCGGAATGTTTTCAAATTAAAACGCTGCGCAACATTGTAACGTGGACCTATATATATATATATGTGTGTGTGTGTGTGTGTGTGTGTGTGTGTGTGTGCTTGTGTGTGTGTGTGTGTGTGCGCGTGCGTGCGTGTGTGTGTGTGTACGCACATTTCTCTCGGGTAAAAACTAAACGTTTCGAGGCGATTCCGGCCGGGGTGTATACGCGAATTTCTATAGAAATTATTGCGATTCGCACGCGAAATACCTATTTCATCTACGTTTCGTTTGTGGCGAGTCGGTACACGTTATTACGTGTATTAAACAATGGGACGCGCGCGTTTATGGGGAAAAATCGACCGACCACCGTGTAAAAACCGGACAAATTCGATTTTCGTGTGTCCGGTAATTGTTTTAGATTCCGAGCAGATACGCCAGAGAAACGATTAGCTTTACGAAAACCGTGCGTGTTTATTTTCTTCGCCGTTCTCCGGAAAACGATTTAGCGATGCTCCGCGCATTCGTCCAAGCCGTCCATCGACAGATGCGGGCTTTTCGTCCGGCAGTACTTTATTTGCAAAAATAATTTCGAAATTTTCAATGATATTCCTAAAAAAAAAAAAAATTCCTATTCGCTTGTTTTTTTCCGAAAACCCGGAAAAAAGTGCATTACACGTTGAGCGAATTCGCTGTTGACACACAAATAAAGCCTCTCTACGTTCCTGTCTCAGAAGATTTAACCGCACAAACAAGTGCAATGCTTTTAAGGCGGGTAAAAAATGTGCGTGTATTCAATACCTACCGAATTAATTTAAATGTTTAACGCAGCAATAGGTAGGTATGTGCGTTTCAAATGGAATAATGAATAGTTAAAATGCTGAATACGTATGAGGCAGCGCGACCTGTGGTTGTTATGACATTGGTTCTCTGATTAAAATTAAAATAAATCTTGCTTTCCAATTGTTCGAACGCTAAAACCATTAGCATTATTAGCGTTATGGCGTAGGCACGTATCTAAGCCCCTCTCCCGGTTTTCGGCCAATGTTTTCATGGGACACATTTTAGATTCTGAGTGAAGCGAAGAAGCTTATAGTTTTACAAAGATGTTTATTTTTTTTTTTCCGTGGACAACTTTTCCACCAGAGATCTTGCTCCGATTCGTGTGTACGGCACATTTTCTGAAAGAAAATCGGTGTGGAGAGGTACTTTAAGGATGTCATTTTTCGATTTTCTCAAGAGTTTTCGCGACAAAAAAACGATGAAAAAACGGGAAAATGTACGAAATATATTTGAAAGATATTACAATTTTTTTTTCTTTGGACAACTTTTCTACCAGCAATTTCGCTACAATTTATTATGATTATAATGTCTCTAAAAGGAAATTTCACTAGGGAAGTAATTAAGAAAGGTCATTTATCGATTTTCTCCGGAGTTTTCCCAGCAAAATTGAAAAACCAGGATAAAATTTTGGAATTGGAATAATTGAAATTTGACCATAACGTGACATATATATATATATGTTGACAAAGCAGCACTGTCAACTGAACTCCGCTCAGAATCGTTTTTCCGTTAGCAATGCCGTTACCGTTGCTTATAGGTATACATTGAATTACTTATAACCGCACCCGACCCCAAACTATGGAAAAAAAAGAGCTCGTGCGTCGACCGTAGTACATCACACGAGACGGCCCAGTGCCTACTCAACCTGTGTAATTTTACGATAAACGGTCCGACCTCTCTGCAGCTTAAACCAATGGACTGATTGTTTTGTAATTGACACGTATTGATCGGCGGTGTGTTAAATACTTTCGATACTTTTGTGAATTTCAAGTTGGCCGGATGATTACACCATGAGTGATATGCAAAAGTATTAGCATAGTTTTTACTCGAAATTCGAATTTCCCCCCCCCCCCCGACAATTCGACAATGCGTACGCTGTACGCGTTGTTACCGCCTGCCGTTTGCGGTGAATAAAAAACAATTTTGTTTATTTATTTTATCGCTGTAATACTACAGTATCGTTTTCCAGCGCCATTGATAACAAGCTAAATTCGTAGCTGTACATCGTATATTCATTTACTCAATCCATAACACACCAACGATACGTTGGGCCTTATTTTTCACTCGATCAAAAATAAAAATCATTGTTTAGCTGTATCCATAATTTTAATTAAAAAAAAAAAAAAATAACCGATATCCCAACAAAAACCCTCCGTCAACCACTGGTAAAAACCCCGTTGAGAAAAAAAAAAACTCGTGTTCGAAAATTCGCGATACCAAAAATGGGCTAAGTAATTTCTGGAATTCATTGTTCGCGTTTGATGAAGTGCGATAATTTAACACAAATAATTTAACTTAGCTTGGCGGGGCTACTAACAGCGTGTAATTAAATATTATAAAACGGGGATGTAAATATTCACGTTGACATTGTAATCTTTGTTTGTATTCGTAAATATTAGCAGCCGTCAAGCTAAGTTAAATTGTCCGTATTAAATTATCGCACCTCATCGAATGCATACAAACAATTATCGACGATTTCTATACTAATGGTTTTTATAAATCACTTGGGTCCTTTTCGATATCACGACTTTTCTGACTTGAGTTTTTTTTTTATTTTCGTTCTTAGCGATGTTTTTCCACGTAATTGACGGAGGGTTTTTGTTGGGATATGCCACCCCGCTCGACTACTGTATTAATTACTCGTACAGCACAATCACAATATTGTATTTATATTATTACGCGCAGCGGGCTTCTCTTGGCCTGCGATAATAATTTATAGTTTTGTCGCGGCCCGCTCCATTAACTATAGAACTCTGTCGGCAGACTACCGACAACAGTAACTGTACACATTACCGCCGCTAGATAGCGCTCGACTCGTTTATTTTTCCCGACGACACTCTCAACGGTATTTACAGAAAATAATAACGGTTACGTCTGCCTAATTGATTACTATTCCTTATCTGCTGTTGATCGTTCGGGATAACCTATTGAGAATACGAAAAAAATCCAACCGATTCAAAAACGTTTATTCGTTAAATAAAACCGCAACGTTTCTCGCGTCAATCTAAAAAAAAAAAAAAAAGGCAATGAAATACGTCCGATGCGGCGTATTGGATACTGCGCGTGACGACGACAGATTCACATATTGTCCACGCGTGAAACTGTACTGGCGAAACTTTTCGACAGAACGTTCGAATGCGCGTGTTCCACCGTGGTCGTGTTTGTTGCTTTCGTGCCATTCCGGACCGAAAATGTATTCCGGTGTTGTAATTGGCGAAACTGCGAAAGTACACAATTCACGGTTAAACAATAGGTTTGAAAATACGGTTAAACGTTCGCCCCCCCCCCCGACACGTAACGCGGGAGGCGCCCCGTGATCGAAATCGCGTGAAACCGCCGGCGGCCAACGTCCTCGGACATTAAAAGTGCGCGCGGTTCGGACTGTTCGGACTTCGTTTTATGTTTTCCCGCCGGTCGGATTATTTTAGTCCGTTCACGGTGTAGACTTTTCAGGATTGTTTTTCAAAAAAAAAAAAAACCCCACCATAAAACTATTAACTAAAAAAATTGAATTTCCATACACCGTGTTCGAAATAATAGTAGAAAACCGCGCGCAGTCGAACGCAAACAAACAGTTTACTCAAACGGTATGTCGTGTACGTGTTTTTAAAGGTGGGCTGCGCCATGACGCTGGAAAATCAGGAGTTCACGGTGAACGGCGGCGGCGGCGGCGGCATCGGCTACGCGGCAGCTCTAGCTGCTACAGCACCGGCGGCCGGGTGGCTGAACGCGGACGCCGTTGAGACCGGCGCCGAGAGGATCGTCTGGGGCTTGGCCAGGTTTCTGCTGTCGGCGGGCGAGACGATAAACTCCACGTGGGACGTGGGCCTCAACACGGCGTTGGGCCTGTTGAAAACGGGCGGCGCCGCGTACGAATCGGTGGCCAAGGCCGTCGGCCGCGTGCCCGTGTTGGGTTTCGGGGCGGCCGGCGTCGGCGAAGCCGTCAAAACCTCGCTGGCCGTGGCCGAGAGCAACGCCAGACACGACATGGTCGTCCGGAAGGAAGCGTTCGCGTCGCTCAACCGGAAGATGTCCGAAACGGGATCCCGTCTGTACGGGACCACCGCCACCGCCGCCAATCCCGTGGTTTTCCCGCCAAATAAATAACATCGATTCTTATTGTACGCGGCAATGTACCCACTGGTTTTATGTCGATGGCTTTTTGTTTATTTGTAGTATTTATTGATTAACTATAGTAATAATATTCTGTTATGTTCGGGCAACGCACTGTAAAATAACGGTAGTATAGTAACGCAGTTAATGATGCGCAGGGCACGGAAGTTATGGGATCTGAAACAGGCCAAACACGCACCAACGAATTGTAAAATACGCATGAAAAAAATGTTAAACGTGCACAAAATTGTTTGCAGTTAACTATTAAAAAACGTACAATGTCATTGATTGTGTACACATCAGGGATAACGGTGCGATTCACATTTAATCTGTTTAAACATTGGCATAGTAATAGACTGAGGCGATAAGAAATAACAATACATGACCGCGTTGAATAACATTGAGTTTTATGTTTAATGTTCATTAAGAAAGAAAGAATAACGATTTGTTTAGCAAATGTGCATAATGTGCATACAGAATTTACGAAAATCGATAGAAATCAATGTAATATGCAGTTTTTTTTTTTTTCTAAAATCAACGAAATATGTAAAAATATGAATTTTAAATGTTCAATTTTTAAACTCTCCGTCGCATAGAAAGAATTTCTAACTCTGTCCACTAAATAAATCCACAGTGCATACGGAAAATGTTCAACTCCCATATCTTCCGAGCCCTAATAAAGTGACATAAATCCGGATTATCCGAAAATCCGAAAAATCCGTATTACATAATTTAAATTTAGAAAATCCCGAAAATTCGAGTGTTCAATTCGTTTAAATCTATAACGTCCACTTGTATATTGTATTTGTATTTTCTGTGTTACAAATATAAGCCCGTAAATCGATTTTTTAATACGAATTTCGGAAATTCGGATTTTTCCCACTAGTAATAATAATATCAATATCAGACTTAGTCGTCGAAAACGGTTTCGTAATAAAACAATACATCAGAACGAAATTTTTCATTCGGCTGTCGTTGATGTTGAAAAAAAAAAACGTCAATTTTAATCAAATAATAATATATTGCGATCAAAACTTGTTGACGATTTATTTTAATGTTGTGAAAATATCATTCTGACAAAAAGTCGTCTGTTATTGGTAAAATTACTTTGTTATCTATCGTAATGTAGTAAAGCAATTTTTTTTTTTTTTGTTTTCCTAAACATGTACTGCTACTGAACAATATACCAATGTATCAATATATCTTTTTCAATTTAATATTGTATACATTTTTTTATGCAATTTTTCACTCTTTTATTATCGAGAGTTTACTGTAGATACCTATACGCTCTAATATTAATCAATTAATTTATAAACAAAAAATGTCACGCGATCTAATAATTAAGGGTTGCGTGTGGTCAATTTTTACGAAATTATCGATCCAAATTCACATTTATATTATTTTAAATTTAAAACCGGACCCGGGCCTTTGTCACGCCTCCCGAGTGTTACTTGCTCGATCGCAGTGACTGCAGTCCTTGAATGTCCTCATATTATTCTCAATCGAATCCGACCACCTCTTTTTCACACTTTCTTTTCCTCTCATTCCTCCTATATTTCCATCGCTATTCTTACTGCTTACTACTTACTGCCTTTCACCCCATACCAAAACCAAATCGTCTCGGTCTATTTGCTCTCCTTTTTCCACAATCGAAGCCACGCTCGCATGCTACTTCTCGTGCATTCGTTCCTTAACCTATCTTCACTTGTCACTCGATTGATTCATCCACCTAAGCATTCTAATCTCCGATACACTTGTTCTCAGTAATATTTTTCTGTCTACCACCCAACACTCCTGAAACAAGTAATACAACATAATCGGTTTCACCACACCGTTTGCCGCCTCTTACAACATGTAGAGGTACCGTCAGAGTATTCTGATCCTCTATCACAGGGACAATAATCATGGTATCTAAATATTAATACGATTTTATTTTTCAGATTTTAAATTCTGAGTGTAGTGAAGAATGAATTCGTTTTATGTAGATGTTTGTTTTTTTTTTTTTTTTTTTAACAGTTTCTACCAGATAATGTCTTTTTTCGACATGTTTTTATTGTTCTATTTGTATATTTTCGGCTCAACTCTTACTAAATGAAAATGCTTTACGAAAATGCTTATTTTGATCAATACTAGCTGCGGTAAAATACAAAGATATTTTACGTTTCGACTTATTAAAATAATTTAATAAGTATATAGTGGATACTACAAAAATAATACTTTAAATATTATTAAATACCACGAACTTAGATACAATTTGTAATAAACAATCTAAACAACAATACAAATTTGAGCCATTAAGAAATGATATCCGTAAAAAAAAAAAAAAAAACCGTGATGTGTGGGCACAATTATTATTGTACACGCGTGAAAAACTACAACTCTGCATTAAGCTACTGTTGGCCGTTGGGCTTCAACGCAATTAGAGCAGCATTCGGCTGTAGCTGTAATCTGTTGTCAACATTTAATTCTACATCAGTAGTTCAATGGTTGTTTATTTAGATCATATACCTATCTATCTAACGTAATAATAATATAATATGATATAATACGATGTAAGGTTGTTTATTACGATTAACCCAATAGAATTGCGATTTAATTGACGATTAAAAATATGGCCATAACTTCTTATCATTTTAACTGACCGACAATAAAAAAAAATAATCAAAATGTTATGATTTAATGTACCTTCTACATCTATCTATCTATACAAATTTTTAAGTATTAAATTGTACGTCATTTTCATCAACACTAATTAATTAATTATTTATACAAGCTGTACGAATATCCCAAGAGGGGAGTGGCGATGGGTGGATCTCCCCCGCTACGATCCCCCACCATTGCTTTCTTTGATTAAGTCTCTGCGGCTAGAACGTTTCCGATCCGTTCATTGGGCACTTGAACTTAATATTGAAATTAAACGTAATAATATCGAGAGAGAGGAATCTAATAATCATTGATCGATTTTTGGTTCGAAAACTGTCACTCCGGGGTGTTCTATTTACTGGCTAAATTAACTGGCTAATAGTAAACACAGTCAAATAATATTCCGAGTTGATCGGAAATTTCGTTAAAATTTAAAATAATTTTATATTATTACTATAATTATTAGATTCTAAGTGGAGCTTATGGTTTTACAAAAGTTTTTTTTTTTCCGTAGACAACTTTTCTACCAGATGACTTGCTCCAAATTTTACTTGTAGCAACTTTTCTGAAAGGAAATCGTTGTTTAGGAGGTACCTTAAAGAGGTCATTTTTCGATTTTCTCAAGAGTTTTCTCATCAAATGTGAAAAACCGGAATAAAACATGGAAAAACCAGGAAAAACATAGGAAAACTGGGAAAATCGGTACAAAATTAAACAACTATTATAATAGAGAATATAAAGCTTCTTTAGTTATTTTAGAAAAAAATATATAATATATTGTTGACAAAGTACCACTATCAACTGAACTCCCCTCAGAATCGTTTTTTCGTAAGAAATGGTTTATCGTTGCTTGCAAGTATACATCAAGTTGTCTATAACAGTGACAGTACCCCCGTCCCCATTATCCTAGGACGCCTTTTTGTTTTTATTACCTCATCAATAATATTACTGATATAGTATGATATCGTTTTATTACTGATACAATTGTTACATGGCCTGTATAGGCTGTTTATTTTAAATTATTCGATTTGGTTACTATAGCAGACCGTATATTTTTCTTTAAATCAATATTACTGCTCCTAAAAAATATACTTTTTTCGTTTTGTGTATATACCAGCAATACGCGTATTGTACATCGGTAATTACTATTATTCGTCAGATGATTTAAAATTCATAACGCAATAGTATGATGTATGTATAATGATGTATGGTACACACATGCTAATGTTTCATTAAATGACGCACGGAACGACGACGATAACAATAACTACCCGTGGTCTTGTTTTTAGTCGTATTTACTTTTATTCCATTTCGATTGTTGCCGCAACGAAGTTGTCGGTTTATGTTTAGGATGTTTAATTTATTGTTAAACAAATGTTTAACCGTTTGTAGTGTTATATAAGTATCATAGGCGATGACAACGCGGCAGCGATTAAAACGGATCCGGTGAATGGATGTAATTATATTCGTGGTTTTGTCATACTATTAACTTATTGTATTATACATTCATTAGTAGGCTGTCAGCTATAACATGCAGTCACGGCGCGAAATATTTTTACCTTGGATCACCGATTTAATTTTCCTCTCGCCGACTGCCTGCCCCAACCAAAAAACACCACCGCCCTAAAAATCATCGTTCTCAAGCCGGCCTACCTGGACCAGAAAAGTGTAGAGCCACCACTGATTTAGAAACGTATGCAATAGAACAAAATAACGTATACGTAACGTAAAATACATTACATACATACATTACATACTCAATAAAAAAAAATAATATATATACATATAAATCTCAGTGTGGCTAATCGAATGAAAATATCGTCCGAAAATAACAACCTATCTGACTAACGTATGTGATGAAGACATACAAGGGGATGTAGAGTGGTCATAATACCCCCCTCCCAATAATTGTTTTTTTTTAACTTTTCAGTTGACCATTTTACATTTATGAAATACTAAATAACTGTACATAATGGCCAACAGATAATTTGCGTAGGATTGTGATAGTGATGCTGACTAGAATTACCTATTATTGGAAAAATAATTTGTAAACTGTTATCAGTTTATCGGTGCGTCAATAATAACAAGAGGGATACATACAATGGTGAGAGGGATTATAAATCGCAATGTTAATGGTACCCGATACTATAAATAGCCAACCGAACGTGGTTAACTTGATGTCTTCTATAGTCTATGGCAATTCATTTTATTTACAGTAATTGTACGTTATGATATATTGTTATCTGTTATAGGTACGTTGATTTGACATACATAATTATATAATAATACTTGTCCAGTTGTACTATATTTTATTACAGAATATAAGTAATTATATTTCGTAATTATAATAGTAATATTTATTTATTTATTTTGTTTGATTTGATGATTTGAAAATTGTAGGTCTATTCTGCTAATAAAACTATGAAACTACGCGGAGTACGCGGGTACCTGGTTTTTTCTGGCCATAGTGCTATTCCACTGAAATTCTTATTTTGCATACTTCGCATATTGTTGCGTACTAGAATTTCTTCTAGTAAAGTTTGTCAACTACGACACATCGGAGGTATAGAACTTGAAGAAAAGAGTTGTCGAAGTTCAAATGAGTATTGTATGAATGAGAAATGTTTTATAGATCGGAATGTAGGGCGGGTAATAAGAAACCAAAATCAGTACAAATTGTATAGATAATAGAAATAAACGTAGGAGAAAAGAAGCGGAGAGGAAAGCCGAAAAAGAGACGGTTGGGTGCAGTTAAGAACGATATAAGGACATCCAGTGTATGCGAAGTGAGAGATCTTGTCAATTGAAAGCTTAGGACGAGGGTGGAAGAAGACGATTATTTCGGATTTTTAATAAATAATTAATATAAATACTCAAAAATAAAAATAATTTTCTCTCACAAAAGTCGTTCCTCAAAGATAAAATTATATTCTTAGGAGATTTCTACCGTAAAATGCTATCGTTATAAATCGGAGCGAAATTGTTGGTAGAAAAATCGGGCACAGAAAAAAAACATATTTGTTATAATAATCTATAAGCTTACTATAAGCTTCTTCGCTCCACTCGGAATCTAAAACTTGTAAATCGTGATAATTAGTTCGAGTTTCATTTTTCATTATTATTCAGTACATTTTTTTTTTTTTTTTTTTTAACAGGTTGGCGCGCCGGAAGCAGCGACTGGAGAAACCACTCCCTCCGCGGATGCCGAGAATGCGACCGCCGAAAATACGCCACCCAAAACAACGCCTCCGGCCACAGACAGTCCGACGAAAGCCGACGGCGATAAAGAGCCGCCAGAAATCGTGGACGGCGTGTCGTCGTTCTCGGACGTCGTGCACGATGTCTCGGAGACGCTGTCCGAATGCAAGAACCTGTTGATGATGGAAGGCTCCGAGATAATCTCGGCCGCAGAGGATGCTGTGCTCGCGGGCTCCCGGGCAATGATGGCCACGTACGGGGCGGCGGTGAATGTGTACAATGGGGTCGCCAACACTGCCTCGGGCGTGATCAAGACGACCGCTCATGGGTACCACTGGGCAAACGAGTACATCAAACCGTTGGCCCTTATTGGGATGATCACGACGGGCGTGGACTATGCGCTGACCGAAATCGCCGACACGTTCCACGACAACACCAAAAATAACGTGGCCCGTCGCAATTTGATGGTCGATGAAATGCACACCAAACTCGACAACGCTCGTATGGAGTACGCGGCGGTAACGGTGCAGTCCAAGACCGGCAAGACTGCCGGAACCATTCCCCCCGCACCCGGAAAACCTGCCGCACCCGGGACACACACTACTCCGGAAACACCCGCTACACCAGGAACATCCACCGCATCCGCCAAACCCACCACGCCCGCTAAACCCATCGCACCCGAAACATTAGCCCCACCCATCGGAGAACCTGTCTAAGGGTAGCTATCGTCCCTAACCGTTTTGCCAAATACTGAAGATGGCAATACCTACATACCGAAAACTCAATTATAATAATCAATACATTGACGACAACGGGAACTTTATTATGATGCCCATCAAAATGCAATTGCAACATACACTACACATTTGTGTTTTTGTACAGTATATTGGCCACACTATAAAAAAAAAAATAAATAAATACATTTAAGGCGATTTCCAGAATCCAAAGGATTATAAATTGTAATTATATTGTAAATAATGATATTTTTTTCCTTGATCTATTGATCTTATTGATTGTATATTTTTAAAATGTCACAAATACAGAGTAGAAATCAATTTTCCACCTGCATAAAATTGCATCTCATATCTGGTTAGGGTGCATCGCCACCTATGGCCACTCATTTTTATTTTATACTGAAATATTGTAATTTGTTTACTTTGATAAGCCTTAATAATCAATATTGCTTTTCATCTTAATCAATTAATTTACTGAGCGATATCGTTTGTTACTAAAACATACCCAGAAAGCGTAGGATAACCGTAGCGCGGGAAAATACAATTTTAAAATATTAATATCTACTGCGTTTTCATTCCACAATGTTCTTAAAACTGTGAAATTCAAAATAAGTATTACTTTAAGTAAATTTAAGTTTTAGTGTATTTGTGATTTAGTTTTGAATTTTTTTTTAATAACCATAGATAGATAAAATAAACAAAAAAAATTTGTTACCTTATATGTTATATACTGACAGTTGGGCAAAAAAATAAATTTGTCCGTTGAGCCCAGTGGGTTCGTTTTATGATTATATTATTATGCACCACATGATACAATTATATAATTAATTAATTATTCATAACAATATAATGGTTAATAGTTAATTAGAAATAAAATACGATTGTCACATATTTGGTCACATTAAAAATTAAAAAAAATTAAATATATCGGCTCAATTCGATTGATTCCGGACAACCGTTTATCTCGCGTACACGACGTCGAAACTTTGTCATCGTGTAATATTTTTGACACACGATCGAAACAGATCATGCCAAAAATGACCCCGCCCCCTCCCTCTGTCGTAATATCGTTCACTTACCGTTCCGATACCAAAGAGATTATTTATCCGAACGATGAAAATATTTTATATTTATATTATATTATGTATATTTTTTTTTATGCTACTTAAACGATTCAGTTTGATGGGCATCCCGTCTGGATATATTATACTATGTACCATTATAACAATCATATGCTATAGTACAAAAAAAATAATTACTGTAATCGATTTTCTAAATAAACAAAACGCAATAAAATTATAAACTCGATACGAGAAAAGTGTGTTGTGTATTTAATTTGAATATAAACGGTGTCAAATAATATAAAAATACAATATGATTGTAAAAAAGTGAGCTAGGAATATTATCAGTTTAGAGCTATGTTACGTTGGCATTCACAGATCAGCCAGTATTTTGTTTGTATAATTTGTACAAATTTATTATGGCAGTCCCGAAATTTGATCTACCGTGCCTAGGGGCGACACAATCGATTGATTTGTTTAAAAGAGATCGTGTTACTTATCGTATTTAAAAGGAATTCGTATAGGCAATACACTGGACATACTTAGAAAAATGTATGACCTCGGAATAACAACGTGATGTCTCTAATTTTTACAATTGTTTAGGAGGAACAAAAAACTCTAGAAAAATCAAAAATTTGTTTTAAACAATTACAAAATAATAGATTATATTCTAAAAGAACTCCTACTGATACAATGCTATTCTTCTGGTAATTTGGTTTAAAATATAATTTTAGATTCTGAGCGGAGCAAAGAAGCTTATGGTTTTATTTTATTTAGGTGCGCTACTTTTCTACCAGAAGACTTGCTCAGATTTCTAATTGTAGCACCTTTTCTGAAAGGAAACCAGTGTGGAGAGATATTTTAGAAAGGTCATTTTTCGATATTCTCATCAAATTTGAAAAACCGAAAAAAGACAGGAAAATATAAGAAATGTAGGTATTAGTTAAAATATATTACAGCCTTATTTTTTTCTGTGCACGACTTTTCTACCAACAATTTTACTCCAACTTATATTGATAGCAATGTTTTTAAAAGGAAATTTTACTAGGGAGGTACTTTAAAGAATTCATTTTTCGGTTTTCTCAGAAGTTTTCCAGCAAATGTGAGAAAACATGGGAAAACTGAGAAAAACGTTGGAAAACTGGGAAAATCGGTACAACATTAAACAAGTATTATTAAAGAAAATATACAAAGCCTATTTAATTATTTTACTATAAAATTACATATACCTGTACAGTACACATATATTGTTGACAAAGCATTACTATCAACTGAACTCTGCTCATAATCGTTTTTTCGTAACCAATGGTTTATCGTTGCTTACAAGTATACATTAAATTATCTATAACAGTAACTGTACCCCCGTCCCCATTATCCTAGGACGTTTATTTTAAAAATAATCATTTACAAACTTATGATCTTTAAGATATATAAAAATAAATGTAATTAAATTTTGATTTTATTTTAAAATATGGGATTATAAGTCTGTGCAATAACTGATATCTGCGTCAATATGCTACCATTATTCATTGCAAGAAACAAATATCACCGTGAGATATCTTATTGTTGCACCAAACAAAAACCAAATATATCCATTTGTATAATATCTTTGAATTTGACTTACGAATTGATAATAATAACGTCAAATAACGTCTGATTGTATTTCAAAGGTCTTCAACTAATTTTCATCAACTTTATAGGTACGCTGCGAAACGTACGGTACGTTTCGCAGCCAAAGTTTAGCCACGGCCAATAGGTACGAAAACCTGTGTCGATGCAAAAATCTAACAAACCCAGGGTTTTGGTAAAGCGGAGAGTAATAAAAACGTCCGGACGCGAATTTGTCGTGGTAATATGACCGACAACTGAAATCCAGTGCCCGAACATACTGTGATCGATCATACTTTTGAAGTTCAAACGTGTTACACAAAAAGTTCCTAACGCGCTAGATTTAAAAGGGTTACGTTTTGATCACTGTCTTTCACCCTTATTTCAAAAATTGTCCTCGGGAAAGAAGGATATTATTTAAAAAAAAAAGTCTCAAAATAAACCGCAACTGAATATAATTTATTATAAAAAACAAACAAGGAATACAATTTATTATTAGTATTTTGAACCAAAATTTCTTAGTTACTCATTTCAGGGGTGTCGTTAAAGATGGAGGAAGAGTGATAATTCTGCACTACTTTGCAGTTTATATCCATAATTTACCTAGATGTTAATCAATACGTCGACCGTAGCATTCAGGCTTAAATATTGATTTTAATTTTTTCATTTCTGTGCAACCACATTACATTTGAACAAAATGTTTTTAACAATAATTAGCCTGGTGCACGATAGGCAGAGGAAATTCACCTCATAGAAGGTTTGCACCCGTTTATGACAAACTGAAATGGCGTCACTGGTTATACTGTAATAGAAAATCGTAAGTATTTCTCGCATTTGTGCATTTCGAAAATATTCATAATATTTTACTGCTACACCGTGTTTCAAAATGTTTTGATATATTTTGTAATCTTTTATCAACGCTTATTGTATATTTTCTTTATCATTTTAGGTTAAATCACTATTTTCATAATGTATATTATTATTATTCAACTCGCAAATAAATTGGGGTTGACGTCGTCGAATAATATAGTATATTGTATTCGATTTCCCCATTCATAAACTCATAATTTTTTTTGCTTAGTTTTTTTTTTTTTGAGTTTATGAATGGGGAAACGCATTGTTGTTTTTTATTGTTATTATTATTATTATTCTGTAGCATATTACGGAAGATAAGACTCCGAACGTTTATTATAATATGTAAACACAATTTTTTTCCCCGACATTTATCGTTATCCCGGCTTAAATCAAAATGAATTAATGTTGTCTGCAATAGACGGACTTATTTAACTAGTAATTATAAAAAAAAAAAATATTTCGTAGGAACCTACATACTTATTATACTAATATTTTGAACACGCATCACTTTAATAACGATAATTCTATATGTTGACAATAGATATGAATAATATCATGAAACCCGGCGTGTACCTCGTTGTGTAGCAATACCGCTTTCTTTCGGTAAGTATAGCGTATATCAGCGCAGTAACACTACATTTTTTCGCAGGAAAATAGCGCAAATTTCAGTGCTTATTACCAAAATCAAATTGTGACTTAAAGAAACATTAAATAATTTATAGGTATATTATTTTTATCGATATATTAAACTAAAATATGTAATATACGAATTGTAAACAAGTCACATGATGTACCCGAGTACCAATATATAGTGTTTTTCTCGCAAAGGAAACGTTATAATATGTGGGTAAATAAATAATCGGTACCTATTCGTAAATATCGATACAGTGTCGTATTTAGGATTTTTTCCGAGATGAAAGGATATTGGAGTTGGAAATTATGTCATATTGTATGATGGGTATCTAGGCGAAAAAAAAAGTGAATTTTGATTTGACCTTTTTTTTGTAAGTTCCTGATTTATTATTTAATCTAACCAAAAACTATAATTGAAATCAAACAAATTTAATACAAATATTATACTGATATTAGCAGTGTCATCATTAGTTTCTAACTTATTAGTACTACGTACTTTAATTTAAATTCCTTCATATAACAGTGGTTCAGATAGGTTTCGTTTGAAAAAAGAAAATGCATACGTTCAGACTTTTTAGATATAATAGACACGTTTTTGATTTTTCTGACTAAGAAGTATATAAATTTTAATTTAAAAAATAAGAAGTCTTATAAAAATACTAGATACTAAAAAATTCAAGGAAGGATATATATATCCCTAATCTCCCCTTTTCTGTAAATAAGCTACTGTATCAAAATATCAAAAAGTTCCACTTTTTATGTGAAAATAAATAAAAATGATAAAATAAATTAAATAATAAATAATAAAATGATTTTGTGAAGGAAATATACCAACAGTGGTAACGCATTACATTGAAAGTAGTGATTTCTAACGTTTCAACCACTGATAATAATTTGTGTATACAATATAACAAAAATAAATTATAAATTGCGTAAAACAATATATTATTATTATAATATGATATTGTTTCACAATATTATACTTTTATACTGGACTGCACTTACATAGATAATAAGGGCGCAACCGAGATTTTTTGAAGGAAGGTGTCTCAGGTCTACATTAAAAAAAAAGTTTTAAAACACATTTATATTAATTTGACACGGATTTAGTGGGGTGTTCAGACACCCAAAACACCCTAACCCCGATTGTGCCACTGTAAATAATATACACATGGATGCGACATACCGTGTATTCATATGTGATTGAAAAAGAGCATACTAGTTACCAAAATGGTTAAATATAATTAAGTTGTGGTATCAACCATAAGTAATAACGAAAACGCAATTCAAAATATACCGTGTACCTGTCATAGATTGAAGATTAGGGTATTTATGGTACCGGCCACCTGGCGCTCACTGAAATCAAAAATTCGGAAAATAATAATATTATTTATTATTTACATTGAATTGCGTATAACATGTTCGAAAACATTTATACACCATTTTTTGTTTGTACTGTCATGGAACATAAAACAGTGGGAAATTAATAGGTAATTACAATAGTAAAAAAAAATAATAATAGTATTGAAATTAATAATTATATTAAATAATCGAATAGATAATATAATGTATAATGTAGGTATGTAATAGATGGTATATATTATTATCTATGACAAATAGAGAAAAACACAGATCAGTTTGATGCAAATGTTTACTATCAAAAAACCAGTATCTGTAACCGCGTATAATATTTGGTGACTATTTTTTTTTCTCTATAGTAGACTCTTCACTCACAGTATACCCTTATATTAGCGATTCTCAACTTGTGGTATGCGTACCATTAGTATCAAAGCGAAGAAATTGTTTGTTAAGTGAAAAAAAAAGGTTATTTGTTATAAGTCAAAAATTGTCAAAAAAAGTTAAATTTAAATGATTATTTGAATGTATTATTTTTCTTATTATAAATTATGAACCCATGGACTCCCAAACGAACCTGATCAGTGGGAAATAAACCATAACAATAACAATATAGTTCGTTACCATTAATCCATACATAATAATATAAATAATAGCTGTACATATTTAATTTTACTTGTGTGTATTAAATGCTTGCAATTATGTTGATTTAATAATAAAAAACTTCATGCATGTAAAAAACGTCCTTACATATTTTATTTTTTGTTTAGTAAAAAAAAAGTTTAATAACCGTGTCGAGTAAAGTGAAAAATATCCTGAATTTAAATCAGACGATCAAATACGTGAAATTTTACATATTTCAGTATTTTAATTGCATGTTTTTCAAGTGTCAGCTGCACAATAATCCCATCTTTAGCTATACCAATTATAAGTGAAGTGATGTTCCCAGAAAATCGAGGCCATATAAACTATCACATTAATAATATTATACTGTTAATATGCCTCACTTTATGAATCAATCTTGGAATATTCTGGGTCGGGTACAATTATACCCGTCCCTCTAGGAACACTGATAAAGTGTGGATAGCCTATCCGTATCTTTATCATCTGCGAGTATATCGTGTATAATAGGTATACTATTGTATATTATTGTATCTACGTGCACGTACGACGGAAATGTTTTTTTTTATTTTTTTTTAATTGTACTATTAAGTACATAATATTATTATTATGATTCGCGTATACGTCAAAAAAAAAAAAATATATCGCGTCGCAATTAACTAATTACCTACGTTTAATAATTAAATTTGTTTGTTTTTTTGCTACCCGATAAAAAACTTCGGGTCCGCGAGTGTTTACGAGTGACAGGGGCGGCGGCGGTGAATTGCCGGTACTTTCGTATTTGTTTTGAGACGGTGGGTAATGTGAATTTCGACTAGACGTCGCAATTAAACTGTTTAATTTTATACCCGCGATTATTTCACGTTGACGTTTGTTAAGCATAATAATAATAATTATGCACATTTTGTAAACAACACGCACATGTTCGATCGGGACGATTATAATAATGTTGTTATTGCCCGTCGTGCCGACCGTCGCACATAAATAGGCGACCGTGCCGAGTCTTTGGGCCAAAGAGTCCTAGCACGGTGTCGGCGAACGGAATATTAACGGTCGAACTGGACGATCGTTTCGACAACATACAATATAAAACGACAATAATAGAATTATTTGGAAAATGACGCGATTTGAAGGCCGCACGGGTGTTTGTTGCTTGTCGATAGCGTGTCTGTTGTTGCAAGTACGTAATATTTTAATACAATTTATTAATTCCGCATAGCCGCGGACACTTCCGAATACTGTCTATCGACAACCATTGTGCGGTTCGGACGCACTAACGGGTGTTCCGTTCGAACGCTTTTTATTCGGCGAACCTGACTGCAGTTGTTCTGTCTAACGGACGGTTCGAATGCCGATCGACAATCGAATAGTTTGACGGTGTAATGTAACGACTATTGTTCGGTCGTGTACGTCGCTAAATCGTTTTCTCTGTCTGTAGTATTATTAAGAATGTCTTCTTCTTCTTCTTCTTCCGCTTCCACGTCCCAACTATTTACAATCGACCGCCCTCGTTCTAAACTTCCGCTCGACCCGCCGATCTCCCACCTCGCATACACTCGCTGTACAGTCCTTACGAGGACTTATGAGGACGTACGCGTCCTCAATCACATCCGACTATCTCTTTTCGGTCACTTTTTTTCTCCTACGTTTATTTTCATCGCGACTTTTACAGCTTCAGATTCTTCCCTTGCATGCCAAAACCATCTCCATTGAATGTACACCTACACAATGCCTATTATAAGTTGAACGTCTTGTTTACACGTGCAATATACTGTCGACTGATTGAATTTAGAGACTGTTGATTGTTATTGGCGTGCGCACAAAGCAAAAATTTAAAATCCGCGAATATCATATAGACCATGTACACTGATTTTGATGTTTTGGCTTGAACGTAACCAAGGTACACCTACCCGTTTGGTGTATTAAATGTTTTCATTTGCGGCTGAATACGACGTTTTACACTGAAAAACTAGACAAAACTGTAGGAATCGTTTTTGAAGGATTTCAATTTCAAAAACGTATTAAAATTCTCTAGGTTGTTTTCTGGGTTACATTGGATTTGTATTTTAGATTCTGAATGGAGCAAAGAAGCTTATGGTTTTACAAAGTTGTTTATTTTTTTTTTTATCTGTGCGCAATTTTTCTACCAAAAATCTTAATCCGAATTTTTAAGTGTAGCTTTTCTCATCAACTTTGAAAAACGGGAATATAAAAGAAATGTAGGTATTAGTTGAAATGCATTACAGTCTTCTTTATTCCTGTCAACCATTTTTCTATCAGCAATATTTCTCCAATTTATAATGATAGCAATTATTTTAAATGTAAATTTGATTGGGGAGGTACTTCAGTGAGGTTATTTTTTGATTTACTTAAAAATTTTCCCAGCAAACGTAAAAAACCGAAAAAAACACGAGAAAACCCGGAAAATCGGTGCAACATCAAATAAATATTATTAAAGAAAATATATAAAGCCTATTTAATTATTTTACTATAATATGATATATATTATTGACAAAGCAATGGTATATTGTCGCTTGCATGTATACATTAAATTACCTATAGCAGTGGCTGCACTCGTCCCTATTATCCTACGCACGTGTTCTTAACTTATACGCTTGTAATTTTAATTTTTAATAAAAGACAAAATTATGTCGGTACAATTTTGAACATTTTCCAGAAATATAATGGAATTGTTTACAACATTTCCGATATAGTAATTAGTTTGTTATTTTCAACATATCCCGGTAAAGAACCTGCAAAGAATAATTATAATTCTTATAATCTATTGTCCGTTTTCAAAATTGAAATCCGTCCAGCAGAATGCCGATGGTTTTGTCTAGCATTTAGATCTAAATAATCGTCTCAAATATACACAGTCATCACATCTCAATCCCTTTTGAAATTATTCTAATCTTTTATTTTTATTCTAAACTACATTCTTATCGGTACTTCGTGAAACCCAATAATTATATACGTAGGTATGGAATATTATCTACATTTTAATTATGTTATTCACTTCGTTTGTTTCGCGACACTCAAAAATTGTAAACAAATCGAAAAATAGAGCGATATTTCTTTCAGAACAAATCTATTGTTAGACACGCGTAATTACTTTTGAATTTTATTGACTAGGCACATATTACAGAGTCTTCAAATCTTTGTTATTGAGAAGAACTCGTTCAGAACTACTGACGAGTAAATAATTTCAGTCGGCGTGATTTTGAAAATATTATAGTCAAACATAATAAGCGCAAACCGATAATATGTTGTTTATTTGTACTACTATTGAGAACAATAATCATAACTTAAGATTATTGTTTTTTTTTTTTTTTAATAATACGGTATCTTATGATTCACAAAATATCGCAAAGTATTTCAGTAAAATCTTAATTACTAATAACATTCAGTAATCATTGTGTAAACATAATTATTCTTTTCCTACATTAAAATCTACAATAATAAACCCTATACTGAATATTGGTTTGAACTTTTTATATTTTGTAATACAAATTTATCAACTTTAATCAATTTGATAAAGTAGCTAAGACAATCCAGACAAAAATGTAGGTATTTATTACAGCAGTTCGATATTTTAAATAATTTTACCTTGCATCGGTCGGAGCATTTTTTCAATTTTATCAAATTGTTTACGAAGATAAAACATTAGAAATTTTGTATAAATCTGTCAAATAAATAAATACATATTAATATGAAAAATATGTTCCGACCGATGTAAAGTAAACTTGTCTATAAACTAATACATCTTTACGTTTTTTAAAATCAAATCACAGGAAGCACCTAAATTTTTGTCGGGTGTTTGGGTCTTTTTAACGGACATTTAATGGTGAGTGCAATCTTCTCAATCCAAAATATATCCTTCTGTATAATTTGTATGGGTTTATAAAAAAAAACGACGTAAAACTATTTTTTTTTTTTTTTTTTTTTTAGTATTTTCGAGTTTATTTCCGTTATAACAAATGCAATTATTTTGTACGGCCGCAATCGGTGCGTGAACATTTTTTTGAAAAGATTTCGCGATTGTGTAAATATAAACCGGAAATTTCGATACTATTGTAACCAGTGACTATTTTCCTTAAAAATATTAGAAATTTAAAAAAAAAAAACCCCCCTGCGTGGCCTCTATTCGGATGGGTCGCTACCCACCGGCATCGGGCGTGGCCCGTTAATCTCTAATAGAAGGACACCACTAACGCCGAACGTTATTTTTGCACTCAGGTCGGCAGTGGCGTAGCGGGGCCTACCACGGACGCAACGGCGACCAAGCCCTCGACGACAGCCGGTGTCGAGTCCATGGCGGAAACGATAATGGTCGACCTGAGCAGCGAGGCCGAGGCGGCAGCAAACAGGGTCAAGTCGGCATTCGGCGAAACGTCGACCACGCTCAACAGCATCATGGACCTGACCACCGACAGCCTGTCGGGCTTGATCAAGAACACGGGCACGACGGCCTTGGACTTTTCTTCGGAGACCTCCAAATCGCTCGAGGAAATCATCAAAGCCGGCGGTCGGGTCACGCTGGCCATCGGCAACCTGTGTAACGAACTGTTCGGGGGCGTCAGCGCCGGCCTGGCCACCGGTACCGATTTACTGGCCATGGGTACCAACAACTTGGACAGTTTCCTGGGCGGCGTGCCCGTCGTTGGCGTGGTGACGGGCGGTCTGAACGGCCTGATGTCCGGCGTGTCCACCACAGTGAACCAGATGTCTAATACCGGGCGCGAGAGCCGACAGCAGTTAATGAAGAAACTCCGCTCCGGGATCAACCAAAGCTACCTAGACACGAACTCCGTCGCAAACAGCGTCACAAACGGCGCCACAAACGTGGATACGACCGCGGCCGCTGGATCCGTCAAAGCCACGGTGAACGTTTGAAACCACGATGTCAAAATGGTCTTATATTTGTCAATGTACAGTTAAACAAAAATCATCCGTATCGCTCTACACTAAACTTTACTCGCTCGCATTGACGTATCAAATCATCGTTTTGGACAAGAAAAGAAAAAACCTTATCCATAATTCCTTCGGCATTGTATGCATTGTTATACGGTTAATGTACGGCGTTCAAGTTTGACAATGAAAACCTCGATTGCTGTATTAGATAAATAATAATACGATTAATCCGATTCGACTATCCGAGTAAAATACCAAAAAAAAAAAAAAAATTACACATTACAATAACAATATCCTACGAGTAATATTTTATGATAACTAGCACTTGTGGATATATAACCGTGTATTTGACTAAGTGAATACCGAGAGAGAAAAAAAAAAAAAACATCCGTTGAAAAACAGACGCAAATTATTCGCGTTGTATATTGACACGATTTATTATTTTTAAAACTCACCTGTACGAATTAATACGCCTAAACTGTTTCGAATTGTATTTTTCGTTTATAAGGTTTTTTTTGTATTATTATTATTATTATAAATCTGTACGACCAATATAATACGTATCTTGACAAATTTCTGTGTAAATTGTATTTTTATTTTTTCATAAACTCTATCGAAAACAAACGAATTCCTGTTTTCATTTATACATTAAACATAATAATATTATGTAGCAATTATATTGTATCATCCTTATAATTTATGTATGTTGTTCATCAAAACGCTTTCGTAATTATTTAAAGGGATTGATGGCAAAATCAACTGATTTTAGTTAAAACATACCAGTTTTTTGTCCAACCGATCGACCTTATAATGCTTTTGAAAACCGATTTGAATTTGTAATTACGTTTACTTGAGATCGATCAGTCCACTTTTCCCAATTTTACCCCAATTTTTAAATATTTATTAAAATTTAAGAATTCTCAAACGCTAATTATTCGGAATTAAAATCTGAAATCTTAAATATACGTCGTCGCCAATCCCCTTAAGTGCGATATCTTAATGTTTCTGTAGGTTCATGTACATTTCGCCGGGACTATTTCTTTTTAGTGTAAATTCCATATTTTGTATTTTAAAAAAAAATTGCGCCACTGTCGTAGGTAGGAAGGCGGGAAAGTAGAATACATAAATGTATTTAATTTATACCTGTAAACAACGATAAACTATAAAAAAACGATCGGAGTTAAGTTCGGTTATACACATTGTGAAAGGCCGTGTACTAACACTTTTCGTTAAAATTCTATTTTAAAACTTGTAAAAAAAAAAAACAATACATATAACACTCGATTTTTTATTCTTGAACACTAAATACGACTTAAATAAACCTCATGTCAAATTTTTAACGATTTCTGTTAAATCTAACAATTTTATCCATAAAACACCTAACAAATAAAAATTATATAAAAATTAAAATATCTATGAATAGCCCCGAAAATGGTTCGAATGTTTATCATTTTTACCGTCTAAAAAAATCAACTACCAAACATTTTTCTTTCGAAATTTCAATTCTCTACGGATATCTTCAACTGAATTACATTAAAAAAAAAAAAAAAAACAAAATTTAAAATGAAAAAAGAATTATTTTCGTAAATTTTCCCGGTCTTTTTATGTTTTTTTCGCTTTTTCACAATTAAAATTACATATAAAACGACTGTTTTATTCACCGATTGAAGTAAAAATGAAACAAAAAAGGCTCTTGTTGTATTTCTTGACGAAAAAAAAGTCATTTGTTGATGTCCAAAATAGTTTCCGTAATAATTGGGAAAAATCAAAAAGTTAAAATTGATTACTATTTACGACAACTTGGCGGTCCCGGTATAATTATTTTAATTTTTGCGAAAGACGTTTTATACGAGTAATCGAAAAATTGCAAGAGATGGATAACAGATATAGGTTGTTTTTTTTTTTTTTTTTTCTTTCGGATTCGCATGGATGGCAGATTTTTTTCTACTATCTACGAAATATACGAAATAAATCGGTATACTGTCGGTATATTATAGACGTCGGAAAATCGCGTCGAAATGCGCGAAATGTATAGCGATATCGAATTTCGTATTTGAAGTGACCGGCGCGTAAAACGAAACGCACAAAGCTCGCCCCGCTATTGCATACAGTTCTGCATCCCGGAACAATTATTGAAGCGAACGCCGCCGTAAGACCCGAGCCAGCCGCGGTTGCGATATTTTCACCCACCGTCCCCGGTGAATATCGCGTGAGGGACGCCGGGCAGAGGGGTCGCCGACCAGTGCCGGCGAGCCGCCGTTAATCGCTGTCGATACTCCCGCGGGTGGTTTACCCTACGCCCGTGGGGCGAGGGGAGATAGATTACCCGGGGCTCGCGGATATTGTGTACACGATATTAGCCATTATTATACTGTTGTTCCGTTTTTTTCTCTTTTCTTTCCGTGCCCCCCCCCCCGCCATTCGCGAAGGCCACTCGTCGTCGTCGCGGCGCGCAAAATAGCGCACGACGTGGTCGGGACGCGCGTGTAACCGCGACGGCGAACCGCACCCCGGACAGATGCGCCTATATATTATAACATTATCGCCGCCCGGCTGTAAAACATACACCACGTAACAACGTAATACGCGCGCGGTTTCGCGTCTTATTCATAAAAAAAAAAAAAAAAGACGAAAATAATACGACGGCGGCGGTAATGCAGTGTACAATATCGATATAATAATACCTATACGGAGACTATTATTATTATTATTATTATTACGCGGCGGCCGTATTGTCAATGCAACACGGTACAACGTAATATTATTACACTCGTGTAATATTGTAATAAAAACGTAGGTATATCAATAATCCGTTTTCGCCCGTTCCGGACAATGACGCCGGCGAACCGACCCCGCGGAAAACGACAATGCGTCCGCGGGTACGATGATAATGACAACAGTATACGCGGGCCGAGAAACGAGTAGCCGGGCGACCGACCACAATGACGGTAATAATGGGGAGTCTTACCGGACGGACGCGATAGCCGGCGGGTTTTTCCCGTCTCCGCGCACCGCCGTTATTGTCGCGGATAACAATAACGATAATCGTTATAATCGTAATAATATTATAAGATGCCGGCGCGTAAACAGACGGCCGGACGACAGATGCGACGACGGATTCCCCGCGGCAGCACCGGCCGTCTGTACGTTTCGCTGACGGTCGCGGTGAGGAGAAAAAAAAAAATTTACAAAAAAAACAACTTATAACCTGTACAATCCGCGTGTTGCTCGTTCGAAAATTTCACTGGTCCGATGTCCAATCCGACGGGACATCGGATTGATACAGTCGAGGAACGCTGTTTTTGTTAAAACGCATAACGCTTCTCTTGTCGCGTGATTTTTAGAACGTTAAAATAATTAATCGACAATGGGGATGTTAACAGTAATTCACCTGAAAATGTATTATATTGATATTATTTTATATTAATTTGCAATAATTATGATATTCAATACGAGTGATTTTTGGGATAACGTAATGTTAAATTTATCGCGGTTATGCATGCAAAACAATAATAATAATAAATTTAAAAAGTGTTTAATGTTATTATTAATTCAAATTCAAAATGATGATCCATGATTTTGAAACAAAACTTAAAAAAACAAGCGAATAATTAAATTAACAAACACGAAACGGAACACACGGAATGATAACTGACATAAATTCTTGTTTATATGACCTTAAAAGCACACGAATAAGGCTCAGATCTTAACCAAAAGGTACATATATTACCCGGATTCCGAGTTGATTACCGGTTTTATCGGCATGCTTAAAAACATCGCATATTGTCGCGTATACTTCGACAGCAAGTATCTCAAATATTATTAAAATGAGATTGTCGATATTATTAAAACAAGTGATTTGGAAAATGTTTTTGTTATTATTATTTTTTTTTTTTATTACAGTCTGAATCAGAAAATAATTCAGACATCGCCTTTATCAAAACATTGTATCAACATAAAGTGTTTTAATCAATATAACAAAGTTGCTTCGTGAAGAAAAAATACATATTATTACTGTGAAATGTTATATTCTAAGTCGGGCCGGCCATGGTTCCTCCAGATCCCCAACATATTTTATAAAATATCGTCATTTAACTACTGACCGTCTTTTGTGCAGAGATTAATATATATACTTAGCATTGTTTAGACTTTAGTGGACTATTGCAAACTGCAGTAGAATAATACAAAATACAACTTATAATTTTTAACAATTGTATGGATGAGTAAATTTATACACAAATTACTAAAAACAGAAATGTTACTTTGTTATTTTTACAAATATTACCGACCCATAACACTGACTTCCGACCCGATTTCGCACTGATTTTCACGGCCTTGGAATGTTTCATCTATGTGGTTCCTTAAAACAAATACTCCAGGGGCCTTTGATATGTTAAGCCGACACTGATTAATTAAATATTTCCAGTATTACGTATTACAGTAACTTAGGAAGATTATATAATAAATCATTATTGTATTATGTTCTTTGATCATTATGTACAAATACGAAGACTGAGATACGTACTGTTACAATATAGGTAAGTATATTTGAAATGCAGTAAAGACTCATCGTGTTGTTAATAATACACATTATACATTACCTATATTGTCGTCGTTGTTGTTGTTATACCATTTATACCATATTCGGGTGACCGTAAAACGTGGTCATCACCGCGAGGGCAATGTGGCCAGTAACCGCAATATAATACAATATGGGGGGGTATCTATACCGAAACCTATGTGAATGATAAATAATAACAGACGGTCGAAGGTATTTTAAGTGGCCGTATACGACAATGCGCGTCGGAGTTTATTTTGGTCGAGACGAGTGTTTTGCGATTCGTTGTAACATTATAATAATGTATTGGTAATTTTACTATTGTGTGCGGTTTTCGCGGATTACTTTAGTAACAGTACTTATGCGGTTTATTCATTTTACTACTTGTGTTACCCTACGTGCAGTATCTTATTGTAAACGCGTGTATAGGCAATCCACTATATGATATATTTTAAACATTCAAACGCGGTCTCTTTAAGCCCTATAATATTTAGATCGCGGTTAAGATTTGAATCAAAACGAATTTAATAGCATTATACCTATATAATAACACGCAAAATATTCCGGTGATGTTTCATACCTATCTATACTACGTTTAAATCAAAATCGTAAGATTAGGTCCATACATAATAATGTAATAATACAATACAACGATAATCTAAATATTACAAAAATTCTACTGCGTACAAAGTTGTTTTGAAATTTAAAAAATAAGAAAAACTCTACAATAACCGAGATTGTGTGCCAAAGGAAGACTAACCTTAATATTATCTGTTTGTAATAATTTTGTTTTCTGTGCACAACTTTTCAACCAGCAATTTTTCTCCAACTAATAATGATATATTGATAACAATGTTTGTAATAGGAAATTTCACCAGGGAGGTACTTTAAAGAGGTCGTTTTTCGATGTTCTCGGGAGTTTTCTCATCAAATTTGAAAAACCGAAAAATAAAACGGAGAAAAAAAGGGAAAATATAGGAAATGTCGGTGCTAGTTAAAATATATTATGGCCTTTTTTTTGTGCACAAATTTTCTACCAGCTATTAGCAATTTACAATGATAGCAATGTTTTTAAAAGGAAATCCGACTGGGGAGGTACTTTAGAGAGGTCTCTCTAGAGTTTTCTTATTAAATTTGAAAAACCGAAAGAAAAAAACAGAGAAAAACGAGAAAATATAAGAAATGTAAGTCAATAATACTGTCAGTAGCTAAAATACTGTTAGTTACAATCATAGTATGAAGACCGCTTTAAAATAAATCCAACGACAACTCACAACTCATTTATTAAAATCTGTTCAGCTTAACCTATAAGACGTATTATTATAAGAAGAAATAACACTTACACGCATAAATAGTCACGAAACTAAAAACATATTTTGTATTCTGTTAATCTGAAAAAAAAATTATTTTACCACCACCACCGCGCTGGATAAATTCAACATAGGTAACCAAGTAGTATAATAATATTTTAATATCATTTTGAAGAGCCATTTCTCATTTATAATATTGTAGCTATGAAAGATGATATTTAAAAACAAATTTATTTATATTAAATGTAATGTTATTTAATGACACGGGCAAATTTTATGAATTTCGGAACAGCCTATTACATTGTCTCGTCTAATTTGATTTACTTGTTTCATCGCCCCTGAAAAATCGTCGTTCGTTCTTGTACGCGAGAAAATTAAGACGAATATTTGCCTGTACGTATTTGTACCGTCACCAATATCAACTGTATATTCAAAATCGATAAATGTATACGTAGCTGGTATAACACTTACAGGTATAATAAATGGTAATAATACCAACACTAATTTTTCAACAAACTTGCACGGAGAAAAAAAACTATTTAAATTTATTGTAAATCGACTCGGCTTACCCGAATCCATAAATCTTTAGTATATTATGTTTAGTGACAGTTGTATAAACAGTAAACACATACATCAGCATAGATAGGTAACTTACTTTGAATTTTTAAATATTTTTATTCCATAAATGTCAACTTAATAAAATGTACCAAAGACAAAGTTATTATTATAAAGATTAAGTGTACTATAATAACAATGACATTATGTTATTGTTGCTATCAGATACGTTTATAAAAAATGATTTCGGAGGAGGGAAGGGGGGACTTAAGGTTGTACACTTTCATACTGTTATCACAAAGAAGTTTACATATAACATATTTTATAACATTCATTTTTAGCTTTTTGTGTACCTGTTATTAGATTTTACATTTAATATACTTTTAGTGAATACAGTCTAAATGATAACGTAATTGATATTATTGTGATGATAATGCGGACTACTTTGTGATATCACCGTATCAGTTATAATTTTCTAAAAGCAGGAAAACCACAAAAAATTAAAAATAACAATAATGAAAATATATTATACCTAAATAGTAATATATCTAAATAGTAATAAAATTAAATTAAAGCCAAAATTGTATTTATCTTCCTTGTTAACAGAAACCACTATTGAGACTCTATTAAAAATCTACATTATAATTTTCATGAAATTTGGTGGGAGGAGGGGGTTGAACCTTTTTAAACTCCTAAACCCCTTTTTGTACACTTGCCTGGTTTTTATTATGTTTGATATAATTATAAAAATGACAAAGAAATTATTACATTATATGATATACGAATAAACAATATAAGTAGGCATGATATACACAATGAATGAGTAGGTACGGTTTTTTTTTTTTTTTGTGAAAAATTAACGACAATAATAATTATTATTGTATTATTAATATTTTTTACTACATTCGATTCTTTTTTTTTTTTTTTACATCTCAATTCGTTTGTACATATATGAAACAAAATATACCTACCCAATATCAATGTAATAAATACGACTAGAGAAACAATTGTTCAATTATTATATTAGTATTTAACAAGATGCGCGCACACACATCCACGCATACATGCACATAAAAAAAATAATTTACGCCCGCTACCTATAAAACAATTCACTGCCACTTCTGCAGCTGAAGTTATTAAAGCCGTAATCACAGTAAATATCGCATAGTCGGTACGGCGGTATATTATGTTATTAACACCTATAGTTTGTTAAATCTAAATAGTGTAAAACGATGTCTTAATTTAAATAAAAAAAACAAATGTATTCTATTTTCATTATCGTATAAAGAATATTATTACGTAGGATTAACTAGGTACGTATACTTATGAATTATAACACCAAACTATAATATAATACTTGAATTATATCACATTGGCCAATAGACGATTAGTGATAATATTATATTAATTATTATATTGAGATTTCTCAGGTACCTTATACACATATTCATGTAATTAGACATTAGGTGCTAATTTAGTTGTTTCAAAATATATAGAATCATATTAGCTGTCCCAACCGGCGTTACCCGTGCCAAAAGAAATACAGTCCAACAATTGTTCTAAGTAAGTAACTAATGATTCTATAGAAACTAATGTTCGTTATGCGTATCTTCGTGACAACCGCTACAGCCCTAACATCACGTATTTATTTTTTTGTTTTAATTATTTTTAGATTCGGAGCGTTGCTAGAGATCTATTAGTTTTACTATGATATGAAAAACCGGAAAAAAAAAACATGGGAAAACCGGGAAAAACGTAGGAAAATCGGTACAACATTAAACAAATATTATTAAAGAAAATATATAAAGCCTATTTAATTATTTTAACATAATATACCATACATATTGTTGACAAAGCATCACTATAAACTAGACTCCACTCAGAATCGTTTTTTCGTAAACAATGGTTTATCGTTGCTTAAAGGTATACATTAAATTACCCATAACAGTGGCTGCCCCTATTCCCATTGTCCAAGGACGTCTTTTTTTAACATTTTATTTCAAACTATTTGTTTAGTAGGTAATCTCTATCGGCAAATTGCCTATACCACCACTATCATAAGTCGCAACTCTAATCACCGCTACAATACATTTTGGTCTGTATTGGATCTATTCATTTTTACTGTAAAAAAAAAAAAAAATGTATAATAATAATAATACTACCACGTTTTGAAATGTGATGACTTTACTGCGTAAAATTTATTAGCCGACCACAATAAATCAATATTACCTCATTTATATTGGAAATGCGGACGAAAAATCTGCCAAATTTCGGTTTGTAGCAGTAGTCAATGGCGTAACGATATTTGGTTTGATATTATTCAAAACAGACACAAAACAAAACAACGTATCAGTTTTTTTCAGATAGGTACCTGTTGCTAAAGTGCCATAAAATTATTTTCTGATGTCTGACGGGGATTACATACCAATTGCGAGCTCCAGATAAAACAAACTTCCGGTCATTAAAATTAAGTCTATAATGATAACCATTATTGTTGTGAATTTTCTCTAAACTATGTGTTTTGAGACGATCTAGTACCAAAGGTGCAAATCATGTGCGTGTACCTATATACAATTCATATATTTTTACACACAATACGAATTATTATACGAATAGTAACTATATTTGCTACAAATACTTTTAATGCTTTATTAAAATTCACTATTTTAGATTCTGAGTGGAGTGAAGAAGCTTATAGTTTTACAAAGATGTTTCTGTGAACAACTTTTCTACCAGAAGACTTGCTCAGAATTTTTAAGTGTAGCACCTTTTCTGTAAATGAATCGGTAAGGGGAGGTCCTTTAAGGAGGTTATTTTTCGATTTTCTCCGGAGTTTTCTCATCAAATTTGAAAAGCTGAAAAACAGTGGGAAAACGGGAAAATATAAAAAATGTAGGTATTAATTAAAATATATTACGGCCTTCTTTTTATATGTATACCTGACATTAAACTACCTATAACAGTGGTTACACCCGTCCCCATTATCCTAAGATCTATAATGTTTGTACTAGGGTTACTAAAGTTTTTTGATGCCTATTATGATAGGTAAACATGTTGATATCACCAAGAAAAAATTCTGATTTGCAGGATAACTGTGACGAAATGATGAAAACTAACTTGTAACTTTTTTGAAAATAAATAATTCAAATAAAAAATAACTCGTTAAATTACTCTCACACACGCAGAAAAAGTAACCTGTCAAGTTACAAGTTATGAAAAAACTAAAAGTAACTTACAAGTTATAAAGTTACTGATTTTTGTAATTTTTAACTAGAGACTTCCCAGCTTTAATTTTAAATAACATTATACGAATCACAGACCAAATCATATTAGAAATTTAATTTTATATATTAAAACAAATACTAAAATTGCATGGGCATAAGGCTTAAAATTAAAAATGTAATAATAATTGTAATATTATCGTTCGATTAAAAAACAGTGTTAATAAATTAAATTATAACCATTTATATAAACAACAATAGCTGTTTGCGAAGATGTTTAAGAAATTATTTTATATCTACGTTACAGTTATAATATGGTAAGTATATAAAATGGAATTTTTTTAAACATTGTGTATTATAAAACTCACTAAAATTATATACTTAATAACGATTTTTTTATGAAATTAAGTTCATTAAGTTCCATCAACTAGTTGAACTTCAGCAGCGGTTGATTTCAAGATTTCTTTTAAATCGCCCAGATTACTTGCTCCTTTGTACGTCCCTTTCCGTCACACCGAAACAATATTACGACCGCACAGTGATCTGAGAATGAAATTTAGGTGGCATACATAGGCCATTAAAAATGTTCAAAAATCAATTTTTTTTCTAGGGTCACATTAGTAGATTACTATTGTAAATACACAATTTCAGTTTCACATAGTGAACTAGACAAATTCGGTTTTTTCTGTTTTTTTGAAAGTAAAAATAGTGATGGTTCATTAAATTTTTGGCTATTGAATTGTATAAAATGAAAAAAGTTGACATGCTTATTTGTTATGTCGCATATTAAGATAATCAAACAATTTTTTTTTAAATTTAAGTTCCTAATGGTTATGGATCATAAAAAATCGAACGTTTTTATGTGTGTGTTTTTTTTTTTTTTTCATAAACTGCAGTAAAAATGTACTCAAGTTTAACATATACCGGCTTCACCCAATATTGTAGAGGAAGTTCTCAGCTACAAGAATGTATAATTTTCTATTGCGTTCTGTTGCATTTGCAACGCACGAAAATCATGTTGTCATAAAAAAAAAAAAAATGGTGTTTCCGTGCGATTATAATTTTAATACGCATCGCTGCTATAGAACTTATTAACGGTTTTTTTTTTTTCCGCGGCGTGTAAAATATGTGCAAACGGAATGAAAAATAAATACAGCGTGCACGGTTGGCGGGTGTTATAATAATACACACTCGTATATGCGTCGTAGCCGCCGGTCGGGTCCGGTTTTTTTTTCGCCGAGGGGCGGGAGGGGGGTGGGCCAGAGGGGGATTCATATTATTATCGTAAAAAAACCTATTACAGCGCGGATAGTCGCGTTTCGTCCGGCCATACGTCGGCGTGTGCGACCAGAAAAGCAGCCGCCGCCACCGGGCGAATGAATCCCGAAGACCACACACGGTTCGCGCGTTTGTGTTTCGTGTTCGGGTCCCGCCGCCGACGACTTCTGGATAATATTGTAACGTAAACACGATTGACTGCGTTTCCAAGGCGTGTTGTTACGATATTATTATTATTTTCAACAATATTTGTATTATATTGTGATCGTTGTTGTTTATTGCACCGCGGTATCCCGTCGTCGGCAACAGCCGTCGCCGCTCTCCCGCGACCGTGTTTGTTTTATTCAGTCCGGTTGACTAAACGTTTTTATTGGATTCCCCTCGGCTCACACACCACACACACACACACACACACACACACACACACACACACACACAGACCGCCGCCCCCACCCCCCCTAACCCCTACCCCCTACCCGGACCCCGACCCCGGGACGGTAACAATAATAATATCGCTCCGCACAACGCGGTATAGGTATTATAATAATAACAATAATAATAATATGCGGATAGGTAATAATAACAATAATAATAATAATAATAGAACGTGTATGATATCTGCCGGCAACACGGGGGCGCGCAAAGGATCCGCGCCGAAACAACAACAATAACGCGACGCGCGCACACGAGACGACGACGACGATGACGATGATATTCTCGAACTCGCGGATACCGCGCATCGATACACTTGGATATTGTTATACGTTCGGTTAGGTAGGTAGGTAGGTAGGTAGGTAGGTAGGTAGGTAGGTAGGTAGGTAGGTGGGTAGGTAGGTGTAGGTAGGTGGGCAGGTAGGTACACCGCGCGGACGTATCGTATAAACGAGGGGGGTCGGGGAAGGGGAAAGAAAACTGAAAAAAAAAACACCGTCGTCGAAACGCCGCCGCGCGTCTCTATTACAATATCGTATTGTACATTATTGTTGTTGTTGCTGTTATTATTATCGTCATCACGACGCTGCCCCGCGGCCGCGTGTTTGATATTTTTATAATAACGCGCGGCGTAATGTTATAATACCGAAGTTGCAATACAGGAAATACCCTGTGCACCGCGGCGGCTTAGGCGGCGACTCGTACGCTCCGCCCATAACATGGTCGTTATGCCCTCCGGCATCCCGGGCGGGATACCGACCCGTACACAATAACATCATAATGCAATGTAACAACAACGCGTTATCATCGATATTTTCCCCGTGTAATACGCACGGCACGGTAGGTGCGCGTTATTGTTCGAGCATAATAGCCGCGCCGGAACCGCGGTTAGTCTCGGAGGGCCATCCGCGGGTCTCCCTTTTTTTCGTCTCTTTCCCCCCCCCCTTTTTTTTTTTTTCCATGCCGTTTTAATATCGCCGCACGCACCAGTCCTCCGCGCAATCGTTTTCCTATTATCGTTATTATTATTATTATTATTATACGCGTATACAGTCGCGGTTATATACAATATTACATTATTGTATTATTTACACTGCACGATCATATTATACGCGTGTACGCGCGTAATATTTTTACATTATTATTTATTATCGTATGGATACGGGCGCCTATATTGCCCGAGACCGCGTAACGCGTAGTCGAGGGGGCCAAATGTTTTGATGTTTATCTGCCGCGGTCGTGTGTAATGAATAATAGGTATCCGTCACGCGTGACCCGTCGTCGCCGCGTATTACGCGTCCCCGCGACGACGTCCGCGGCCATTTTCAAAGCCGAGTTAACTGATTCGTTGAAACTGGTTAGTATCGTCCTAGAAAAAAATAACAAACAAACGACAAAGCCGATTTATAATATTATTATAATATATACTAGCTGATAAATCGCCCGACTTCGCCCGGGTGTATTTCATTGATTCACGTTGGTTTTACAAAGATGTTTATTTCTTTTTTTTTTTTTTTTTTTTTATGCGAACACTTTTCCTACCAGATATCTCGTTCCGATGTGTACAATACAGACTCTTTTCTGAAAGGAAATTTTTTTTGGGCGGTACTTTAAGAAGGGCATTTTTTTTTTTTTTTTTGATTTTCCCAGCAGTTTTCCCAATAAGAGGAAAAAAGTGAGAATAAAGCGGGAAAACTGGTACAATATTAAACAAATATTATTGAAGAAAATATATAATGCCTATTTAATTATTTTACCTGCGCCCATCGTGCGGATTATGTCCGTCCTTTTTGTTTTTTTTTTTCATATTTACAATATTATTTTAAACTGTTACGGGTAACATTGTCGAGTGCAAAATAGTTGTTGGTTCTTTCTTCGGGCAACATATTATAATCAGACTATCGGAGAACTTACGCATGAACGGGCAACTTACAATATTGGCAATGGGAGAAACGGTCATTCCTTAAATCCACTCTTGCCGCTTTCAAAGACTGCTTTTGCGCTTTGTTAATTGTCATGGAAAAACGGATTCTTGACGGATTCCAAACTGTAGCCGTTTGAATTTAAAGTGGTAGTTAAACGGAATCAAAAGTATTCTTGGTAGAAAAACTGTTTCTCCGTTAGGGTTACGTCCGTCCGAGTTCCGCGTTTTCGGGAAAATAACGACTTGTCGAGTTAAAAGCTACTTTTTTAATTTAGGGTTTTGAAAGCATCGAGGATTATTTCGGTCCAACTATATGACGCACGTGGATGGGTATTTTTTTTTTAACCATAAACATTTTTTCTACCAGAAATCTTCGGCTAAATGAAAAATGACAAGAGGCCTTTTTCCGTTGCGTTTCAGTTCTATTTATTGATCGCTGATTGAGCTAGTAATTTTTCGATTTTTCGAGTGGTTTTCATATTAGTTTAAAAATCCAAAAAAACAACAAGGAAAACGGACAAATATTTACGGCGTTAACGATTTCGTTATTTTAAATTTGTTCGATGTTTGTTTTCTACCAGAAATCTTGTTCCAAGTTTCAAGAATAGCAACTTTTCTGAAAGATAATTTTGTGTACAGTTTTGTAATTAATAGTCTAATTATTGTTATTCTTAATAGTTAGAAAAGAACGTAGGAAAGTTTACGCCATTAATGGTTTCATTTTTTTTGGATTTTATATTCTGAGCGTAATGAGGAATATATTAGCTGTATGGTGTGTATAGTTTTTTGTGTCTGTAAACAACTACTTGAAATCCTCTAAAAAAAGCAAGAAATCTTTTTGTTGCATTTTAGATCTAGTTGGTGCGTTAAAGAGGTTATTTGTTAATTTTCCAACGCGTTTTCGAAATAATTAGGAAACCCTGGAAAAAGACATAAAATGAAAACGAACGATGTTTTTTTTTGTCCATAGTATAAATATATATATATATATTATATATTTTCTTAGTTTCAAGATCAAATTTTGACAAAAATATTAAAAATTACAGCATTTTAAAACATGATGTTTAGCTGAACTTAGCTCAGAATCTAATTTCATTAGCAATAGTTTATCGTTGTATACAGATATATTAATTAAATAACTCTCGAATGGTTTAATACGATCACGGCTATGTATCGTACTTTCCCAATTTCCCATCTACAACAATAGAACACTAATTAGCAGTATCGATTCTTTACTTAAATGTTTCTTTTCGTTTAATTTTGCTTTACATTTAAACAATTGTTTTTGTTTTAATAAATGTTTTAAATCATAATTTAAACAAATATTATATCAGCTATAAATAAAAAAAAAACGTTTTAAAACTTTGTACCATCCTTTTTTTTTACCTACTCCTTTCTTTAATTAGCCAGGATTTGTGTCATGGAATCTTGCAATCCGGTTTTGATCCACTGTCCGTGTTAATTCGTATCCTATTAGTTTCAAATTTTGTATGCACTCATATTTACGAAGACAGTTCAATAATCATTAATCCGATTTTCCGATTTCACTCCCATTTTCAAATGGGTTTAAAAGGTTATCAGGGAGTTTTGACATGTGGTTATACGTGTATATGGTACACACATAAAAGTTATGAGATAAGAAATATTTCTTAAAAAATTGTTTATATTATGAGTCTAACTAAAAAGTTGAAAATAAATGTTTAAAAACGTGATTTTCTTAATAAAAAAAATTGAACTAAAAAGTAAACAATATTCTTTCGAAAATTAAAATTTTAATTATGTTCTATTTAGAAAGCATGGCACATGCACTCATAAACAATCAATGAATCAACAACTATTCATTTTCATCCGGACTTAAATATACACGACTGTGTGACACATTGACGGTTTAAACGGTCCGTGAGAAACGAAAAAGTATTTTTATACAAATTATGTATATTATCTGTAATAATATTATGAGTACTACAGCATATAAAATAGTACAATGTTGTAATTCATGTTGAATATTGTACATTAAAATGTTATTGTGTACAAAAGCCTGAAAATGTATTGCTAATTTTTGGATTATGCTACTTTATGACTTTCTACCTATTAACTCGGTCTAATAAAAAGTTATAGTATTTTATACTCGAATTCAACAAATAAACGCATTTGAATGAAGTTAAACGTAAGTCGTAGACCACACATTCAAAAACCTTACTTAACAATGCAGTACGGATCTTTCACGCAGATTATGAACTTGATTAACATAAATCAACGTAAACTGGACGTGGAAATTTGACCAATGACTAAAAGACGAAGTTATGATACTACACGATACAATGTTATCTATGACTAGTAGTGATCCTATCATTTTTTTTTTTTTTTTTTGACAGTATACTAATACCTTTATAATACCTCCAGATTATCTGCTCCCTACTAAACTTCTCTAAACCACACTAACTATGACCGCAAAAACCTTATTCACCGTATCATGCGTTTAGCAAACGAGAACCTCTCTAGCCTATAATACCTTTACTATGACTTAATAAAAATTTTAAGCTTTTTATGTACTGTACCTTGGATACCAACTCGTAATGTAAATAAATTACCGAAAACACAAAAGAAAATATAGTCAACCATAGATAGTAGATATCGTCACTCAAAATGAGTTACCGATGATGGTAGAGCAATTTTATAAAACTATAGACTAATAGAGTTATATAATTTACATATCTAAGCATAATAATATAATATATACTATATACCTATTATACATAAGTAATACATATTATTATGCCTTGGTTATCTTAGTGATACAAATGCAATAATAAAACAAAGTATAAACATTTTCATACGAAAATACTATCCAAATTTACAAATTTTCCAGCGGATTTTCTAAAAATTGTCTTTCACAAAAACCTTTTTTTGACCATTACAATACAACGAAATTTTTTTATACTGTATACAAAAATTCTACTAAAAATCTTGTTGAGATGTTGAACTGTATTTTTCTGAAAGGAAATTTTATCTCCATGGTAATTTAAAAAAGTCATTTTTGCCAAGTGGTTTTTAAATTATCTGAGATAACCGAGATAAAAAGTCGGAAAACCGGAAAATGTACGAAATGTAAGTATTAATAAAAAAGTATTATGGCCTTTTTTTTTTCTATGTACTACTTTTTTACCAGAAATTTTGCTCCGATTAAAAATGATAGCACTTTTTCTGAAAGAAAATTTAACTGGGAAAGTACTCTAAGGGAGGTAATTTTTCGATTTTCTTAAGAGCTTTCCCCATAAACTGGAAAAATCAGGGAAAAAACATGGAAAAAACGGAACATTGTTAAACAAATATTATTAAAGAAAATATATAATGCCTACTTAATTATTTTACCATAATATGAGATATATATTGTTGACAAAGCATAACTATCAATTGAACTACGCTTAGAGTCGTTTTTTCGTTAACAATGGTTTACCGTTGCTTACAGATATACATTAAATTACCTATAATAATGGCTACACCCTACCACATTATCCTAGGACGTCTTTTTATGTGTATTGATAAACAATTACCATTCATAACTGTCCATAATATTGTATTAAAATATATTGGGCTAATAATGTCGTCATAAATTTTATCACAAGAAAAATGTCCCAACAATAATATCGCAAACAATATTAAGGTCACGCGTCATAAAATATTTTAATATTGAATTATTTATTTAGTTGCTGATAAAAAAATAATACCAATTATTTCAGAATAAAAGTGTTTCGTTATTTTAACAAGAGATAAAGTATAATAATAATAATGTCAATATGTATTATCATCATGCGTTCTGTTTCTATTACAAAACTCAGTCGTAACCCGGCGGCGTTCAGATATTTTACAAATCATACAAATATAGAAATTGTTAAATTAATTTTGTATAATATTTATCAAAAAAAAAGATAATAATAATGTAATATAAAAGTGCGCGGAGTGTAAAATAAAATAAAACCATCGCAGATCACTTAATTTTGGGGGAAATGTGATTCGTACAGGCCATTCGTAATCACTTTCCTGGCATTGGAAACATAATTAGTAAAATGACTTAGGAAATTATAAAGACTACACATTATTTTACACTTATCATTAATCGTATTGATCACGTCTTCAACATCACAGGTACCTACATTTTAAAATATTTGTTCATAATATATGTCATAGGCCAAATGGAAAATTCGAATTTTACTCTCTGCGATAGGGTAGCCCGTTTGTAAACTGCTTATTATTTTTCCAAACGGCCGGTTGTTTTTCAGGCTTATTACAGACAGATTAATAAACTAACTAGTCTTTTTAAGAACTTAATTTATTATATACTTAGTCATTTTATTGTAATTTATTACTTGTACAGACAAAAATAACAAAAAAATTATAATATGTAAACCGTGCCTATCTATCTATTATATCTATTTAGTGAAGTTGTAAATTTTTGTACAGTTTTTGACTATTATATTATTAATTTTAGATTCTAAACGGAGGGAGAAATGAATTGGTTTCACAATGATGTTTATTTTTTTTATCTGTGAATAACTTTTCTATCAGCAATTTTGTTCTGATTTTCATTGATAGCACTTTTTCTAAAAGAAAATCTGACTGAAGTGGTACTTTAGGGTGGTCATTTTTTAATTTCCCCAACAAATGTAAAAAGCCGAAAAAAACGAAAGAAAACTAGGAAAACATACGAAATTCATTAGTAATAAAGCTATCCTAAGATAATGGAGACCGGTGAAGCCACTGTTATAGGTAATTTAATGTATAATAACTGTAAGCAACGATAAACCATTGCTAAAAAAAAAAAAACGATTCTTAGCGAAAATCAGTTGATAGTGTTGCTTTGTCAATTACTTTGCTTATTGCCTATTTTATTTAAAATTTAGTATTTTATTTCTTTGTTGTTCAATCTCATTCTGTTGTACTCATCATTATTGTAATTATCATATGTTTAAGTATCTAATATATTAATGTATTAATCATTAATTAACTGTATTTATGCCCTCGGGCATGTATTCAAATAAAATAAAATAATATATTATTAAATTAAATTAATATATATATATATATATATATGTCATATAATATTAATATAATTGCATATGCATTATATATTTTCTTTAATAACATTTGTTTAATATTGTACTTATTTGACAAAGCAACAATATCAACTGAACTCAAAATCGTTTTTTCATTAGCAATGGTTTATCATTGCTTACAGGTATACATTAAATTACTTATAACAGTGGCTTCACCCGTCCCTACTATCCTAGAACACCTTTTTTTCTCTTCTCTTTTTATTCGAAACGAAAAATCGACTATATAGTAACACTCATCCAAGTTATACAATATTCGCTCACCTGCAAAATACATATATCAAAGTGAAGTTTTCGGGTGCATTTGAATTACATAATATTCTATAACATTATGCTGTTTTACTGGTACACGTCACGTAGTCTTTGATTTAATTTGAATAATTATACCTTCCTTTATTATGCACTTTTTTTTTTTATTTAACAGAGTCCTTATAACACAAATTATTATCATTATGTTTGTGGATTTTTTAATAGCGAAAAATATAAACACAATATAATCGATTTCGAGGGGGGAAAAAACGTTTTAGAGTACGCCACGCCCGCAATTACCCGTCTTAAAATTCAAAGGAGGACAGTGTTTCAGCGATCAAGATGATGTGGTTTTTGTTTTTAAATACATTTTTCAATACGTTTATGAATCTTAAAAAAAAATCACGAGAGTTCTACTCGGGCTACGTAATTATGTTTTTGCTATGTTACATAAAACAATTGTTCTGGAAAATGTTTTAATTATAAGTTTTTTTTCCCGGGATAATATTCTGTGGTGGACGATTCCCCTAATTAGACGAGTACATACTCTATAATCATTTAGGGGGAGAGCAACTTGAGCATTTTGCACAGTCTGATTGTCAGCATTATCTCAAATCGTGCTTTCGCTTCTGGGAGAGAAAAACGTCAACATATTTCATCCGTTTCAGATCATTTTTCCGTAATATTATGGCTTTAAACCAGAGGAATGTGTCAACCAAAAATTGATTTTTTTTTTTTAAACGTATTTAAACCAATTTTATTATTTATTTTCAATAAATTTATTATTATTAATTTATTATTACATAATACTGTTGAAATGTATATTCAACATAAAACAAAAATCGTTTCTTCTCACCCGAAAATATCTCCCGAAACTTCACTCAGAATCGGTTTTTATTAGCAAAGAATAATCGTTGCGTACAGATATACATTAAATTACCGTCTATATCCTACCTTTCCAACTTCTTACCTACAATAATGGCTACACCTGTCTCCATTATCCTATGACAGCTTTTTATTTATTCATTTTTAAACTATGTCACTAATATTACTAAATAACTAACTATATATGATAATGAAAAGTGAAATGTTACAATCTGATATACTGATTAATCATAATCCTCAGATTCCATCACGTATGATCACATCATCAATCCGTATCTAAATCCTTAAAATAGCCGGTTGTAATGTAAGTAAACATATTATATCAATTTATTATAAACGTCACTAAATAAATACAATATGTACAATACAGTTTACATATTATAGTTATTTTGTTATTTTTTTTATACAAGTAATAAATTACAATACAGGGTGTCCTAAACATTTATCCTCAAGCTAATAATTCTGTCAATGTTTATTATTTTTTACATTTTTTTTTTTCTATGTGGTTTTGTGCGAAGACTCAAATATAAAAAACAATTTTATTTTTTATTTTCATTCTTTAATTATTGAAAAAAAAAAATTATTTTATCACTTTTCAAAATAGCCGTTTTGTAAAATATATTATTCTAAAAATTTTAATCTATTCATATCCGATCATTCGTTTTTTAGTAATAGCCGTTTTAATAAATAAATAAAAGGCAGGAAATCAATTAATATTCAATAGAAGATAAGGAATTAACGAGCTAATAGTGAGTCCTTATCGCGTAACGTGTTATTATAATTAAAATTAATTGTTTACACACCAATTTTTTAGAAATTAAAACGACTATTACTAAGAAACTATTGATTGGATGTGAATATATATTATATTCAAATTTTTAGAATAAAATCTTTTACAAAATGGCTATTTTCAACATTTTTTAAGTGGAAAAATAAAGTTATTTTTTTTTTTTTTTTATGAATAAGGAATGCAAATAAAAATTAAATTTTCTCTACATATGTGCCCTCCTTGCACAAAAAAAAAATTTAAAACAAAATTAATACTAACAGAGTTATTAGCATAAGTATAACATTGTAGGACACCCAGTACAATAATTATAGTTCTTAAAAAGACTAACTGCTATTATTCTGTATAAACGCTGGCCGTTTGAAAAAATAATAAGTAGTTTGCGAATGGGCTACCCCATCACAAAGAGCCTATGGTATTTTTTCAATCAGACTAATTTTTCTACGACATAATTATATAAATATTTATAACAACCAAGTACCAACAAAAACCCTCCATCAACTACGTGTAATAATGTCACCAAGAAAAAAAACTTATGTTAGAAAAGTTATGATACCAAAAAGGAACTAAGTAATTTCTTAAATTCATTAGTATAGAAATTGTTCATGTTTGTATTTGATGAAGTGCGATAATTATTTGTATTAAATTATCGCACTTCATTAAATACAAACATTATGAACAATTTCTATACTAATGCTTTTAAGAAATTACTTAGCTCCTTTTTGGTATCACAACTTTTCTAACATACATTTTTTTATTTTCTTAACGGAGTTTTTACAAGTAGTTGACGGAGGGTTTTTGTTGGGATATCACTTATTTTTGTATTCAAATTTTGGATACAGCTAACCTATGTTTTTTTTTTTGATCGAGTGAAAAATAAGAAACAAAATATCTTTGTTGTTTTATGGATTGAGTAAATGAATATATGATATATAGCTATTAATATACCTTATTATTAATTTTGTTGGAAAATGATACTATAGTATTGCAGTGATAAAATAAATAAACAAAATTGTTTATTATTCATTGCAAACTGCAACCGTTGCAAACAGGTGGTAACAATGCGTATAACATATACATTGTTGAATTGTTGGAAAAAATAATGTTTCGAGTAAAAACTATGTTAATACTTTTGCATATTATTCAGGCTGTAATCATCCGATCAACTTGAAATTTACAAAATTATCATCTACTTAATATATTGATCAACCCGTGTACATTTCAAAAACAATCAGTTTATTAGTTTAGGCTAAAGAAAGATCGGAATATTTGTCGTAAAATGATACATGTTAACGAGTTAGCCCTCAGGTTAGGTACCTAATATACTACGGTCGACGCACGTACTTTTTTTTTTACTTAGCTCTGCGACGCGACCGTGGCGCTGGATATTTGTTGTAATATTGTTATACTTATAACCACTAAATCTTTCAATGTGGACATTAAAAAAAAGACGTCCTGAGATAATGGGAACGGATGAAGCCACTGTTATCGTTAATTTAATGTATACCTGTAAGCAACAATAAACCATTACTTACGAAAAAACGATTTTGAGCGGAGTTCAGTTGATAGTGATGCTTTGTCGACAATATATATGTTATTTTATAGTAAAATAATTAAATAAGCTTTATATAATATTTTATTTAATAGTATTTGTTTAATGTTGTACCGAATTTCTCATATTTTATCCCGGTTTTTTACATTTGCTGAGAAAACTCTTTGGAAAATCGAAAAATGACCTCCCTAAAGTACCTCCTCTCTTTTAGAAAAGGTGCTACACGTAGAAATCTGAGCTAATCTTCTGATAGAAAAGTTGCACATAGATTATCTTTAAATAACTGATAATATTTCGAAGACCTAAAGTCTTTAACGTTTACTATCACGAAATAATGCTCAACCTTATTTTTTTTCCTTTTTGTCTGCGATAAGAGCAACTTATGAGAAAGCTAGAACAAGCCAATAAAAATAAAATACAACATATTTTGTTTGTTATATCATATTATCTTGAAAATTTTAATCTAAGTATTTGATAAAAATGCTATAATATTATTTCGCATTAAACCATAATAAAAAACCAAAATCAATTTTGACAAACACCGTCGTTGCATAAATACTCCCATTCTCCTGAATTTTTTTTTGGTTTTCCCCCATTATTCAAAAATAGTACAAGAAATCTCAAAAAATGGCTATTTAAATGCATCAAATAGAACATTTTACCTACAGAATAGTTAAAAAATAATAAAAATAATAATATACTTTTATAGTAATTATTTTTATTATACAAGCGTAATATCTAAGCTATAGGCTATACGACGCAGCATCATATTATTTTTTTTATTTGTTCAAATAAAATCCTACGTAGTAGTATTCTATTCTTAATTATATCTAATACCTCCATTAAAAACAGAACATATTATAATATTATCAAATATGGGGCAGGTTTTATCGATTCCTCCGCCGGATGTTTGTACATATTAAATATTTCATATCATTTACAGTTAATACAAGCTGAATAAATCTTAGATTAATAATAATAATTTTCAACAAAAAAAAATTATAGAAAAAAATTACAGATAATCTATAAGTACTATATCTTATGATTACATAACATTTACCTACATTATTTTATATTATAATAAACGGTTTTTTTTTTCATTTAATTCATAACAAAATAACAATTTGAATTATCGACATTTATTGATACAACACACATCATTCCATTAATGTTTGTACCGGTACCGTTTATATTCATATCAACCGTAACAAAAACATATTTCCAAAATCGTTGAAATAATGAAACATCGGAAAATTAAAACTATTGAAAACAGAGAATTTCTACTCGATTTTGACTCGGTAAATAATATTTTATTATACTTTACAAATTTAGATTTAAAATTACTTTGCGTCACATAACAACATATTTATAGATGGTACAAAATATGTGCTGTACATGGTATTAATCGATTATTATTTTATAAACAATCAGTAAAATCAACATGTAAAAATATTCAGCGGAGTCGATTGGCGGCGCAATCGATATAACACATAAAAACGTTATTACGGTGGAGTCGATATACGCCCAAAATATGATATCTTTCGACTTTTATATAGGTACCAACCTATATTTATATATAATAGGTAATTTGTATTGTTTTCTGGTCAATATCGGATAGGTACTTCAGCTAGTGACTTATATAACCCAGTTTATAATAGTCAATATTATATAGTCATTTTTTAAAAAAGCATTTACAACAAAAAAATAATCTATAATTTCCACTTTAAAAAACACTCTTTAGGAATATAAATTAAAAGTGCTTCGATAAATAAATTTAAGTACCACATTATCCAATTCAAAATATATCTGTAGATAACAGTACGCTATAGTAATTTGATAATTGTCTATTGTTCTTGTACTCGTACATTATAAAACATTATTGCACGACATTTATCGAACAATATTATACAATTATAATTATGTCCTACTAAATACTTGGTAAACTGAAAAATACTATAAGTTTTATAACTTCTTGTTAAGAGTTTCATCAAAATATCATCAGTACATAACTCGCCACCGGGTTAAACTATATTATTAGCTTTTATACAAATGAAGTGTAATTTAATTTGTTAGTATTTATATTATCTAAATTCCTTCTGAAGTGTATTCTTATAATATTTAAACGTTGATACGATAGACTGATCAAAATTTAAATTTGTAGCTTAAAAACTCGCGGAACGCAATTATTTACAACAGTTTTTTAATGCTTTAAAAAAATGATCTCTCTAGTAATTACAAATTTCCATATTCCATGTCGAATTTAATAATAATAATAAGCCATATGAGTTTCTAATAGGTCATAATTTTATATTTATTATTTCCATGATTTTGGATTTTTATTAAGGTAACGACGACATTATTTTTTTGTTCGAAAAACATTTTAGGTTCTGAGTAGAGAGAAGTTTATGGTTTTAAAAAAAATGTTTATTTTTTTTTATCTGTACGCAACTTTTCCAAGAGAAATTTTGTTCGATGCTTGAGTAGAGCACTTTTTCTGAAAGGAAATTTGACTGGAAAGGTATTTTAAATAGGTAATTTTTTTGATTTTCTAAAGAGTTTTCCTAGTAAACGTGAAAAACCAAGAAAAAACATGAGAAAAATGGGAAAATTAATCAACTTAATCAAATATTATTAAAGAAAATATATAACGCCTATTTAATCATTTTACCATAATATTATGACATATATATTGTTGACTTATCATTACTATCAACTGAACTCTGCTCAGAATCGTTTTTTCTTTAGCAATGGTTTATCTTTGCTTACTGCAAGTATACATTAAACTATCTATAAGAGTAATTGCATCCGTCCTCATTATCTTAGGACAGCTTTTTTTTTTGCATAATATAGCATAAATGGTCAAAGAGCTTTATCAAAAAAAATATACAGATAGGTTATTGAACACGAGCCACGAATTTTAGACACTTTAGATATAAGTTATTTGTTGAATACATCAATAGTTGGTTTTAAACTTGAAGATAACCTAAATTAATATTGTTAGATGAAAATATACAAGCGAATATTCAAATTTATAAACTTCATTTAGAATAGTTTTGTGAACACGATTAATTATCGTTGCTTTAATTTTTAAATTAATGGTATTTTTATTTTAAGAAATACATGCTATTTACTTTTGAGCAACGGTTTATTATGAATTCCAAAATGTCTAAACAATTCATAGGATTTCTTCCTAAGAAATTGAAAAGCCACTAAATGAAAATATCCCACATAACTCACAAAATAATCGGTCAACCGATAAAAAAAATCACACAGTATTATAATGTATAGTTAATCAAAATTCCGAGTTGTTTATTACCTCAAAAAACTTCTCTTTATATTATTCATGAATTTATTTGAATGCCAAATTTACTCGGATCGCTTCATAATAATAATGACGAGTTACAGCAATATTAAAAAAAAAATCAAGAAAATAACGTGTATTCAAATTTAAAATAGTACGAATAGATTAATATTACGGACGTTTGGTGTTGTTTTAATTATATTTCCAACCGTATTGAACATCACCGGCTGAATGAAAAGAGGAATTCGATGGCGGTGCACGTCGTTTCTCGTATGTTGTTTCGTGCCTACTGACAACAGTATAATAATCAATTCCCCGTATCAAATAAAAATAATAATTTAATAATGACGAATTTCACTAGAAAACTGGTAGCTCAGACGCGACATACGATAATGTTATAAATATTAAAATATTAGTAAGCCGTTCCTTTCAAAAACCGCCGATCCGTTCATAACGCTTGTTGAAGTCTTCGGTACGAACGGGCGGCGATTCTTTGTCTACCTCTTATATTGAGATATGTGTTTGGTTCGTGCCGACTATGAACAAAGTAAAAAATTAAAAAAAATTAAAATCTAAATCTTGAATATTTTAATAGCTATCCTAATCGTAACAAGAAAAAAAACTACGGGGGAAAAAACAATCGAAAACCGGTGTGTCTATTCCGATGGATTAAAACGGTGTTAACGGAATCGGATTTATTTGCTGGTTTCCGGTGCCGATGGAAAACGGTAGTCATCACCGTTCTCTGGTCCATTTTTTCACACAGCCCCATCGGAAAGTTTAATAGTGCATCATTATTATTTCTACGTATTAGATAATATTTTTCATTTAATCAGAAATGCGCATTACACTGCGCTATATTTTTACTTACCTAGTTTGCTGATGATCTTTTTGTCTCTGACACATATGAAATTTAATATTCATAATGATACTATAGGTAATATACTGTATTAAATTTATGACAGACTTGCAACGTGTGAAATTCGATTGCCAGAAAACCCGTCTAGCTTATAACAATGCTGCAACCAAATAATATTATATAGACAATTGTATAGAATATATTAAGAATTACATACAAAAAAACACGGTTAAATGGGGTGACGAACGCCTTGTCCACATCCACTTGTATCCGCCACGGACACTGCGTCGTGGCTGCGCTGATATACTGGTATATACTGGTAATATTATAATTTCGATTTTCGGACGATTTTGGCAAACATTCAAAAACGTTATGAATATATTTCAATTTCAATGCAGTAGCACGGTGTCGTGAAACCATAATGAAAATACGGTCACGAAAGTAATAACGTCTGTTTCTAATTTGAGAACATCGATCGATACACCATCGTCTCGCAAATTTCTTGCTGAAGTCGATATTGACCAACGTGAATTATACGAACAAATATTAAGCCATAGTAAGCACACCGAATAAAATACGATGCCCATGTCCAGTAAAATTGTAAAATTTTGTTCGGATTGCTTAAAATATTGGAACAAACAAATATTAAATGTTCTCGCGACGGGAGAGACTCTGTCCGTTTCGCCTACTCCCGGTGCCGCCTATCGTAGTTTTTGTTACGACGGCCCCCACAATACGATAATAACCGTGTATCGGTACCTAAATCCATACACGTAGCCAGGATTATATTTTAATTTTTTTATTGGAGGGGGAGGGAGAGAGAGCATTTTCCTCCTCGCCATTCTTGATCACCAAAAACCTTTTACAGTAATTATATACCTTAGCAATTTTTAAATGCGATTTCAACAAAATTTAATTAGGACCGATTAACGTGAAGATACGATACAACCAAATTTATTATTATCACGTCATGTCTGTATAATATGTTAGGAACTCGCGTCGTATGCCATCGGCACGAACGTTGATCGCGTTGTATGTTATTTGCGTCTCGAACGATAAATGTTGGTCGGACATTGACGGTGTGCTCTTATGTTTGTTTTTTTTTTTGTTTTTCGCAAGATTTTGTACCGACAATAATACGTATTAAAAGTCGTTTCGGGACGTTATTACGTTTTAACCAATGTCAGGCCAGGTCTGTAACCCCGTCCGGGTAGAAACTAATATAATATACTCCCCGTTGTAAAAACCGACACAAAGTCACAAACATTTTAGTATGCTCAAACTCACAGAGAGTTTATCTTCGGGCAAAGTTCGCGTCCGCAAATGGCCACCGCGGATATTTCCCGTTTCCACATTTTACCCGTTTGTCCGTTTCTGTGGGCAACGCCGCAGCCGTCCGGTCGTTATCGGTTTTGCCGTCACATTATTATTGGGTACAGTACGTTGTGCGGTTACGGTTACAGGTATTATTAACGCACGGCGATATTTCGTACGCCGTAACAATATTATTCATATACGCGCCGCAACCGGTTTTCTACGCGTTGCGTGTGCGCCGTACGTATAACAATGATGGTAATATTATTACGCAGGGACGCGGCAACGGCGAGTTAATGGGAAAAACTTCCGCTTAATTAACCCGGTCGCGCACGTAATATCGTTACGGAACATGGTAGTAATAATAATAATAATAATAATAATAATAATAATAATAATGATAATTATGATAAAATTATAATATTATAATGTTTTACGGTAGTGCAAACATCGCCACCTACCCAATAATAATAATAACATGTCGTTCGGCGACGGCGGTACCGCAAACCGCACCTACAACTGCGCGGGCAACACAATATACACCTCGGTCGCGTCACCACTACCCTTCTTTTTCGGACGGACCCCGGCCGCGGCGGCGAGAGCCAAAAAGACTGACGGCGCGTGCGCGTTTGTGTGTGTGTATGTGTGTGTATGTGTGCGCGCGCGTGAGAGAGGACGAGAAAAAAACCGTATACGAAACGGATGAGTTTCCCCCTCCCCCCACCCCGTGCCGGTTTTTATCTTCGGCCCGGCACCGTGTCTTGTGCACCATCGCGGCGACGGCCATCAGTAGCAGTAGCCGTCCGGACCGTTTCGGTCACACACCATCAGTTTCCGCGATCCCGCGTACGTGGATTACACTATAAACGTACGTCTTGTACGTCCTCCGCGGCCTCCTCTTGGTAAGTCTGGCAAGTTACCGTGTCGCGAGCGCGCACTTTATAATCGCATATTCGTTTTTTTTTTTTTTTTTGCGCGCGCGACCTGCCGAGTCAATAGATAATAACATATTAACGACCCGGTCGCGTCGATCAATTGATAAAATAATATTAGTAAATTAAGTTAGTTGAAAACAAGCTGGCGGGTTAACACGGTTCGAATCAATTATTTTGTTATGCGACTGAGTTGAGTTGTTTTATTTATTTATTTTATTACTATTTTTTTTTTTTTTTTTTTTTTTTTGTTTTGTATAACAATTATTATTGTCATATTGAAAACGGTTGAACCTATATAGAGCTTAGAAAAATAAAGACGATAACCTGTTAAACACGCATGGGATTTATTCCGCGGGAGTATCTAATTACACTTATTTTAAGCTTGGAACTCCACACATGGTATTGAAAAAAACAATAAAATTAATTACTGTTATGACGTATGCGATTACGGTTCCTATTCTAATAGTGTACATAAATTTTAAATTTAATATTGCGTTAAAATTACTAGAAATCGAAACTAAGACAATTCAAAATTAACACCTGATATGATAAAATTAAGTTGATATGAAAAAAGAAACGGACATGCTTCGCACTATAGATGGGACCAGGGTCTAAAGTGGTACAAAATAAGAAAGGGTACTGTGCTCCCTATTTCATTTTGAGCGTTCCATCATCAAGGAAATCGTTATTCGTTAATTTATCAAACCAAAAAATTATTTTTTGTTTCGGTCAACAGTATGAATATAATTACGATAATAAGTTATTAATTTGTATGTAAACACATTAGTAAAGACGTGTTAGTAAAATTAATAATAGGAATTTTAATATTTTCACATCTTCCTGGCAATTTCAGTGTACATAATAATTTTAAATACAGAGCGTAGCGAGGGGATTTATTTGTTTTACAATGATTGGTTTTATAGTTTTATTTTTTCTATGGACAACATTTGTATCGGCAATTTTGTTCCGATTTATAATGATAGCAGTTTTTTTTTTGGGAGGATGAAACTGGGGTGATACTTTAGGGAAGACCTTTTTGGTTTCCCTAATAAATGAAAAACACCGAGAAAAAACATAGGAAAAACCGAGAGGAACGTAGGAAAAACGGTAAAATAGATAAAATATTAAATAAATATTATTAAAAAAATATACAATGCATATGTAATTATTTTACCATAATGTAACATATACGTATATTGTTGACAAAGCAACACTACAAATTTAACTCCGCTTAAAATCGTTTTTCATAAGCAATGGTTAATCGTTGCATACAGATATACATTAAATTTCTTCTATAAATTCCCAACTTCTAACCTAGGCATGTAAATCCTAATATAGGCATATAATATCCTATAGATGTACCTACTAATTAATATGTAATACCTTAAATCATATCTGCAGATTTAAGATAGGTAGTAACTTTAAGTTAATAACAATTATTATAAATTAATGGAAGTATACAGTTTTTATAATTTGTTTTATGTAAGATATAAATTCAATTTAAATATTTAGGTACCAGAACTGCCGCTCGTTAGGAGAAAGGGGGGGAATCCTATATCCGACACTGAAAATGTGAATTGTAAATAGACATTCCAAAAATGTTTCTATATTCACTGATAGAAAGAAACAATAATTGTTTTTTCTAGAAACTAATTATTAATTTATTAGTTTCTAAGTTCCACTCAAAACTAAAATAACTATTGCGACTTTTCGTAACGAGATATCTACAACAACTACAACGTTTAAATTTATAACATAAACAAAACAATGTCATAATGACTACACAGCACTAGATAACATTTCGATGTTATAGATAAAAATGTATTTATCTTGTATCTAAATTTCGAATATATTATAATTATTTTTTAAAATAACTATTGGCTCTAAGCTTTAATAAGATTTAATTTAATTTGTAATAGTGTTAATGGCATTATTTTGAATCAGTAGGAACCATATTATGTATTGTTATATAAATACTCGTCGTATCATTTTAACTCTATAGTCTATGCTATATATTGAAAATTTCATAAATAGATAGACTATAGAGTATTAGTTTAAATAAATTTTGGTTTTGAAATTTATTCATCTCATTATCGAAAATGTCAATAACAAAATTTATTTAAATTAAAACTCTTTATATTGATAGACTATTGATTGACTATTGATAGAATTTTTAATATAGGTCCTGCAATTTGAAAATGAAAAGTGGATAATCATTTCCCTCCCTCCCCAAAAAAATTAAGGTGACAAAAAGTAATATAAATTTAACATTTCAAAGCAGCTTATTTTTTTAATTGTCGAAAAAAAATAAATTGTTTATCCATTCTGTTCAAAATACCGAGTATAGCCACTTTAATAAATCACTATATATTTCGGTTTCGAACCCAACGGAAAATGTATTGATTTTACTATAATGCCTGCGATGTATTTTTTTTTTTTTTTTTGTGTTATCGACTCTTCTCTTAGAAATCTTGTTATAATCCAAAAGAGAATTATAAATATATTTTTATAACATTTTTAGGTAGCATTTTGGTCTTCTGAGGAGTTCATTTTTTGATATTCGAAATAGTTTTAGTTATAGTTAAGGAAAAAGGAAAAATTAATGAAGTAAAATTTTCATGATTTTCAATTTTGTTTTTCTACCAAAAATTTTGCTTTGAAATTCAAATATAACATCTTTTCTAAAAGAAAATGTTGTCTAGTTCGTATGTAACAAAGTTGTTTTTTTTATTTTCTTTGTAGTTTTCTTAATAACTAGAAAAACGATGTAATTTACTGGAAAATATTTTATAGGAACTTCAAATTTAATAAGACAAATTTCTGAAAAAAATTTAAGAAAAACGGGAAAATGTATGAAATATATTAGTAAATATTACGGTCTTTTTTTTTTTATCTGTGAACAACTTTTTTACCAGAAATTTTGCTCAGATTAACAATGATATCACTTTTTCTGAAAGAAAATCTGACAGAGGAGATATTAACTGAAGTCCTTTTTGATTTTCTCAGAAGTCTTCTCAACAAAAAAAACCCGGAAAAGTGGGAAAATAAGTACAATATTAAAGAAAATATGTTATGTATATGTAATTATTTTACCATAATATGATATATATATTGTTGAAAAAGCAACATTATTAACCAACTCTGCTCAGAATTGTTTTTTCGTTAGCAATGGTTAATCATTTCTTACAGATATATATTTAATTATCTACCTATAACAGAGACTGGACTCATTTGCATTATTCTAGGAAAGCTTTTTAAATACTAGTGTCCATAAAATAATTTTTGCATTTATGTTCTTGGACTTCATACTATTTTTGCCCAAGAAAAAATGTATGGCGTGTATTGTAATAAATGTTTAATATATAACAATAATAACTAATAACAATAATGGTCATTACTATAATGTAACTCAATTAAAATTGTTTTCTGAATATCTTATTTAATTATTATTTCACGTCAAGATTACAAAATTAAATTTTACTATTAATTATTGTTAAATTATATGACTATATAAACTATAATACAGTTTAAAATAATTTTTGTCTGAGTAAATGTATAATATAATGTCAAACTTGATATTTAGGGGTTTCGTATAGGCAAATTATATGCAGTATTTGAAAAATGAGAATTTGTCAACCTATATTCTATATTTAACTGAAGTTGGGAAGTCCACATTCATTAAATACGAGTGATATCGCGTCCTCTTAAACGTCTCCCACCTAAATGGATTTAACAATCCACATAATTAGTTTTAATTTTATTAATTTTTATTTTAGAGCGAAGCGAGAAATTGTCTTTATTCTTTAACCAGCAACACTCATTATGCCTAAAACACCGGAACTAAAAACTACTGAAATGAACATAAATATTTTTGAACACCCAGAAAATAATAAAGAATCAAAAATGCACATTGATGACGATCAAAGAAGAAAACCTATGTTTTTATTTAGTGTGGATTACATATTAAATAAAGCCGGAGAGAAAAGTACTGAAAACGAGACTGACAAGCAACAAAGCCAACAATACGATTGGTTGTATTGTACAAGATTCAAGCCACCAAAACTCGATAGTAAGTAATGTAAATTTTTATATACTTATACAAATTACAAATGCTTATACGAGGTACATATAGGTAGTGATGGTTTTTATAATTTTTTTTTTAGGGAAGGGAGTCCTTTGATATTAACTAACAATTTATTTAATGTACAAAAAATATTCAGCCAATATTTATTAGTTTATTTTAATTAACTTACATATAATTGTTTTACTTATCTACATGGATGTTTTAATCAACAACAAAGTTTAAGTTTATTTTAAAAATGACTAAATATCAAAAAATAAGAATAAAGTGTATTTTAGATTGGGGTCGTAGCGAAGGATCTATTGGTTTTACTATGTGTAATTTTTATTTTTTATTTTTTCTGTCTATGAATAATTTTTCTGCCATAAAACTTTTCTGAAATGTAGTTGGTGCACTGGAAAAGTCAAGGATTTTTCAAAGAGTTTACGAAATAATTGGGAAAAACTGAAAGAAAATTATAGGTAAACGGCAAATATTTACGGCACGCCGCGGCGTTATCGTTTTCATTGTTTTCATTGTGTTATACTTAAGTTTTCTAGTAGAAATATTACGTCAATCAATTTTTTTTGCTCCTATTAATATTTCACTATAGAAAAGAAAATTTTTTTTCGATATCTAAAACATTTTACATAATAATTAGGAAATAGGTACCATTAAAGACGAAATATACGAATTTTTTCAAATTACGGCACAACGATTTAATTATTTTAATTTTATTAGCTTATGTTTTTTACTATAAATATTGTTCCAATAGATAAACAACAAAAGACCTTTTTTTGTTGCTTCTCTAATCTAGTCCATGAGCAAGTTATTCGTTTTTTTGATTTTCTTTGTAGCTTTAAAAATAATTGAGCAAAACCGAAAAAACGTAGGAATAACAGTGGTCGCACTCGTCCTCAGTATTAGCTGATTTAAAAAAAAAATAAAACAGTCGAATGAACGAGTTAAGTCAAGTATTTGATCAACTAAATAATAATGACAAATGTGGACTTGTAACGGTAGTGCATCTTAATTAGAGGTATACCTATTGATTATGGTTTGGTATCCTTATTATGTGATAATTCCTAATTTCTTAGATATAGTTTTTTATTATTGATATTTTATTAATTAATAATAATTATTATTATGTAACTGAAATGAAAATAAAATAATAATCACAGATATAGACTGCTAGAGGGGGAAGGATAGCAAAACAGGACAATTTCACACCCTATCTTTTAATATAGTAATAAATTATTCATACTTAATTTCTACGTTTCTATTTTTTATTTTTTTCGAATTGTATATTACATTAGGTATCCTATCGCCCAAGAAAAATTTCTGTTGGCTCTAAAAATGATAGACTAAAAGAGAATGACCATGGAAATGCTGGGTGGGGCTAATGTTTCTGATTACTGCAAAAGTAGCAGTACCTTATTATAAATACAGTACCAGTATTATAATTTATAATTAAAATCATCATCATCAGCTTCTAAAGGCCAAGCCTGGTCATTTTCGCCACTAATTTCTACCACATGCTGTCCTGTTAAGTTGTTGGTAAAAGTTTCAAATTCCTTTTTTTAGATTCTGAATAGAGTAAAGAAACTTATGGTTTTACAAAAATGTTTTTTTTTTAGTTGACAATTTTTCTACTAGAGAACTTACTCTGACTTTTACATGTAGAACATTTTCCAAAAAGAAATCTGTGTGGGGAGGTACTTTAGAGAGGTCAATTAACGATTTTCTTCGGAGTTTTCTTAAATGTGAAAAACTGAAAAAAAACTTTTGAAAAACGGAAAAATGTAAGAAATGTATAGACATTAGCGAAAAATATTATGACCTTCTTTTTTCCTGTGGACAACTTTTCTACAAGCAATTTTACTCCAACTTATAATGATAGCAATATTTCTAAAAGGAATTTGACTTACTAGAATCTAGCATCTTTAAAATATCTACCCGCTAGATACTTTAAAGAGACCATTTTTCCATTTTCTCAAGAATTTTCCCAGCAAATGTGAAAAACCAGGAAAAAAAATGGGAAAATCGGGAAAAACGTAGGAAAAACGGTCAAATCGGTACAGAAAACAAATACTCTTTCAATTGAACTCTACGTAGAATCGTTTTTTCGTTAACAAAGGTTAATCGTTGCTTACTGGTATATATTAAATTACCTATAACAGTAGTTGCACCCATCCTCATTATTTTACCTCTTAAACTCATCCAATAGACAACTTCTTCAAAGAAAGATTTGCGTGGTATTCCTCTAGAACACATACCATTTATTTTCTCTTCTATAATTATGTTAAGGAATTCATTGTGTCCTATGATGTTCGATTAGTTTAGTTTTTCTTTTCATTAATGTTCATCATTGTTCTTATAATTGTTCTATTATTAATATGCATACAATTATTATAATATGATATTACTAGCTATCCCGTCTAACGTCTGGGACATTGTTTTTGTTTAACCAAATAGTTTATTAGGCTTTGGAGGTTATAGAAACTAAAATTAACGAAATATGCACACAAAAATGTGTTTTGTTTAAAATCGAAAACTATTTGGTATTTTTACATTTTATTGAATGATTAAGGATAACTTTGATAACGTATTAAGTTCTATGATTTAATATTGATTAGTGTGCATTTAAATCACGTCATATGAGAATTACCCAGTATTTAATGTTAATTTGATTAATAAAGAACAACATATAGGTTACAATATACATATATAACGGAAAAACTATCCTAGGATAATGGGAAAGGGGACGGGTGCAGCTACTGTTGTAGGTGGGAAATCGGGAAAGTATGATACAAAAAGGATACTTATACCTATAAGTAACGATAAACAATTGCTAACGAAAAAACGATTCTGAGCGGAAGTCAGTTGATACTTAGTCATAGTGATGCTTTGTCAACAATATATGTATATATCATATTATGGTAAAATAATTTAATAGGCATTGTATATTATCTTTGATAAAATGTGCTTAATATTGTACTGATTTTCTCGTTTTTCCCAGTTTTTCACTTTTGTTGGAAAAACTTTTATGAAAATCGAAAAATGGCCTATCTTCCCATTCAGATTTCATTTCAGAAAAAGTGCTATTATTGTAAATCAAAGTAAAATTTATGATAGAAAAGTTGTATACAGAAAAAAAAAATCATAATATTTCACTAATATATTTCGTACATTTTCCCGCTTTTCCTCAGTTTTTTTATTTTTTGCATTTGTTGAGAAAACTCTTTGGAAAATCGAAAAATGATTTCCCGAAAGTACATCCCTACACTAATTTCCTTTGAGAAAAATCAGAACAAGATTTCTGGTAGAAAAGTTGTCCACAGAAAAAAAAACATATTTGTAAGACCATAAGCACTTCGCTCCACTCGGAATTTAAAATAAATAATAATAATATTACTTACAAAAAAACTTAGCACATGTTAATATTACGGTGCTATCAACACATTAACACACTCCCTTAACAGAGATATAATTGTAATATTTAAAAAAAGAGCTGATACTAGAAATGGATGCACTACTGTTGTAGATTGGAAGTTGGGAAGTTAGGATATATAAAGCTATTTAATTAAGGTATATCTAGATACAACGATAAACCATTACTAATGAAAAATGATTCGAAATGAAGTTCGGTTATACATGTTTTAAAAAGCCGTAATGTTTATGATTTTCGTAAAAATTTGATTACAAAACTATTAAAAAATATACTACATGACACTCAAATTTTTTTTTGACTACTAATTATGACCTATAATGAATCTCCTGTTAAATTTTCAAACATTTCTGTTTCGTCTAACAGTTAAAAAATATAGGCATCTAGCAAAATTAAAATGCCTATAAATTACTCAAAAATATTTTGAAAATGTTACCAAGTCTAAATAATGAAAATATAGGTCTTCTATTCAAATGTCAATTCTCTACGAATATTTTTTACTGAATCAAAACAAACAACTTAACCTTTCAACGCATCTGATTGAGAGTTGAATTGCGATATCTAGATACAGTATTATAATAATATATTACAGGAGAAATTTGCATACACTGTAGGTATAGACAACTGGCATGCCTATTCATTTAGCCACAGTAAACACTTTTTAACGATCCTATCAAAATTATCATAAGCTGCTTGGCAATAGTTAAATAAACAGACATATCAATAAGATACATCAAAGCTGACTTCACGCGGAGTAAATCGTAGTACACTTATTATAAATGGTGTTAAACAATTTTTTGAAACCCAAAAGGACTCTTGGCAAACTTACCGCTTTTAAAAAAAATAAGAAGCTGCCCCAGGACAATGGGGACGGGTGCAGCCACTGTTATCGATAATTGAATTGATAACCATTCATAACAAAAGAAACGATTCTGAGTGGATTTCAGTTTATAGTATTGGAAATTATTATAAGCACAACCTCTCCTCAAAGAAAAAAATGTTGCGTGCGTTACTAAAAATACTTATCCATAATTTCTATGTATATAATTGTATAGGGGTTAAACGAAAAGATGGACAGCACAGACAAAAACGTAGGCCTGGACGTAACCCAAGGATACCGTTTACCAATCAACAAGTTATGGTCTTGGAACAAGAGTTTCGACGCAGTGCGTACTTAGGAGGTACTAACGATGTTCATGTATTGTCTGAAAGACTGCGGTTATCAGAAAGTAGAGTAAGTACTCATGAAAACGTTTATACAAATTATTCATTAATTATGTCAAAACATACCATCACATGAAGGATAATAACTATAATATTAATAAAAAAAAAAGTTTTCAACCAGCATATCGCTACCATCGTTTCATTGCCACCATTTTGCCACAACTGATTCGCTGCTAGAGTTTTCCCAGAAAACTGTTTTTTCACTTCAAATTTACCATCATACATTTAACCACATACCGAATATTCGAAAATAGTAGAGCACCCCCTCACTATGTAGTTTATAAATTCTAAATACGCTCAACTAGTATTTGATGAAAAACCTGAATTATATACATTTTGGTAATATAAATATATTTTGGTTATATATAATGGTTTTACGAAGATGTTTGTTTATTTATTTATTTATTTATTTTTTTTTTATCTGTGTGCAACTTTTTTACTGATGAACAAAAGTATAAGTTCAAAAATATTACTACCTTCTTTTCCTATGAACAATCAGCAATTTTACTCCAATTTACTTAACTAGTAACTTTTCTGAAAATAAAATCTGACTAGAAAGGTACATTATAGAGGTAATTTTTTTGATTTTTTCAAAAATGTTCTCTTACAATGTAAAAAACCGAAAAAAAAAACAAAAAATAACGAGAAAATGTACGAAATTTAAAAAATTATTATAGCCTTTGTTTTCTTGTGAACAACTTTTCTACTAAACATTTTCTTCCTATTTATAATAATAACACTTTTTCTAAAAGCAAATTGGTATGGGTTATTTTTCGATTTTTTCATCAAATGTGAAAAAATGAAGAAAACGGGAAAATATAAGAAATGTAGACATTAGTTAAAAAATATTACATCTTTATTTTTTTTTATGCAAAACTTTTCTACCGATAATTTTCCTCCAACTTTCAATGATTGTAATGTTTCTAAAAGGAAATTTCACTAGTGAGGTACTTTAAAGAGGTCATTTTTGATTTTACCAGAAGTTTTCCCAATACAAGGGAAAATCATGAAAAAACATGGGAAAATCGGAACAATATTAAACAAATATTTTTAAAAAATATATATAATGCCTATTTAATTATTTAACATATTATAACATATATATATATATATATTGTTGACAAAGCATCACTATCAACTGAACTGCACTCAGAATCGTTTTTCATTAGCGATGATTTATCATTGCTTACAAATATACTTTAAATTACCTATAACAGTGGATGCACTCGTTCCCATTATCTTAGGGCAGTTTTTTTTTGAATTGCTTTGTAGGCCATTGAAGCTTTTCATATCTTCTATTAAATTACCCTAATTATCACGGCCAATAGTTTCACCGTTCTGTCTACCATTTTTATTGAATTTTACTACGTTTACGCATTTATCGTCGTTTTCGAGGTCTATTCCTAGGTCCATAGTCCAATTGGTTTATTAATCAATATTTTCCAAATTATACTCTCCTAGCCTCGTCATACATAACCCACCTATTCTAGACGCTTAGCTATCAAAAAAAAATTAAAAATTAGTTCATTATATAGGAATTCAAATAAGATGGTATTTTTTTCTTCCTTTTAGTCCTTTTATGATTTGTATGCTATATTACAGCCCATAATGGCTCTAGAATCTGTCCATGTTGACCAGGCAACCGGACCAAAACTACTTTAAAATCTAGGATTGATCAAATGCACACTCCTACCCCCCCCCTCGTCCAAATGACACCCCTGCTATGCATCCTTATTTAGTACATTTATAACGTTGAAATCCGTTTTGGAGAAATTCGTGAAAACTAAACTTATATTTATATAACTATTATAATAAATTCCCCTTTTCGCATTAAATTTTCTGAACCGAATTCATTAATTTTACATAACTAATAATAAACTGTTGTTCGTGGTCATTAACATTACAGTCGACTCTGCTTTATTGGGACACACGGGTTGCATGCTATTTTGTCACAATAATCCGAAAGAAAAAAAAAAATATACAAATTTGTTAAAAAACTGATTCCTTTTATTTTTCTTATTAAAAATTGCATACTAATGTATATATATATATATATTATAGAGATTATTTATTATTACAAAAAGAAAAACACGATATACACTAATTATTTATAAAAATACATATATAATTATATAATACAAATATTTTTGGTATTGTTTACTATTGATCTATTAATTTACTTGATAAAAATGTTCCGATTATCCGGATTCGTAGCCCAGATAAGTGGTGAACGTTTACAATACAACTGTATATTTTTTCTTAACTTAAGAATTGTCCCGATTAATCGGTTGTCCTTATTACCTGATGTCTTTATTAAATGGAATTGACTATATTATAGAAATCAGCGATTATCTTCTAGTGTGGTAGATTACAATCATTAATAAGGTAAAATTAAATTTAAGAAATATGTATGAAATATTAAAATGGTAGGCGCTAGACTATTTACAACTGACGTCGTAAAAGTAAACGCGTATAATATGAGAACCCCTTGTTAAATAATAATATTTTACTTTTTTGTAAACTGATTAAAATATACATTTTTTGAGAGCTGAATCAATGGTTATCCATCAGATTAACCCGAAATTGGGAGCCAATTAAATGGTCGCCTCTCTTGTTGTGTAGGTATATAGAAAGAAATATTACTGAAGATATTACTCGTTTTATGGAATAATCATTATAAAAATTTAATTGACATATTTGCTAATATGAAGAAAATAATGTTATGGATCTCAGATACCTACTATATCATTTATAATAATGTACAAAAATTATACAAAAATTACAATTGTATTGTATTCATTTAAAACACGACAGATACATTAACTATTAATTATAAATAATATAATATATTGATAAACTTAATTATAATACGTTTATGTAATAGCTGAAATAGTGTAACCACCAATAATTTTTGCATCCGCCAATGTATGACATAAAATACGAATACTATAAACGATATAATATTTAGTACATAATATATAAAGTGTATTATACTATAACCCTATGACCTACACTCATACATATCTCTCTAGTAATTTTGTTTTCAGTGCCTATTAATTATTTAAATAATCTACGTAAGTAATTTGGCAATGCATACATTTGGAATGGTCGCGTCGAAAATCCGACGACGAAACGGGTGGGGGTGATAATATGTCATAAAGCCATAAAAAATTTATAAAAAATACATATAATCGAATAGTTATTGATATTTAAATAAAATTTTTTTTTCACTTAACAGATAAAAATATGGTTTCAAAACCGACGTGCCAGAGAACGCAGGGATCAGAGCGGTAGCAGTTTATCAGGACCATCCATTGTTAAGACATATTCTGTTCATCAACAACGTCTTCCGGTGTCTTCTACATCTGCATTCAAACCATTGATTTCGTCACATTGTACTTATATGGAAGGAAAAGATCCATCGTCGATAAGTCAAAAATTAAACCTATAAAAAGTGTATTATTTTATAACATATCTCGTTTTGTGTAAAATGTTCCATGCAAACTCAATAATATGAACGACTCTAATTATTATAACTTGTATCTTAATATAATATTATAGCAACATATACTATGTATATACTTAATGTAATTTATATGTATAAAACATAATTCAGTTATTAACAATAGGTTACAATATAGTTTAAAGTTCATTCAGTAACGATTAGCCATCTCATTCAATTCATGAATTTTTCCCTTCAGGAGTAACTGAAACCAAAATAGTTGAAAGATCATCAAACTTGATATATTACAAACTGAACACACTTGTAATCGATAGAATATATATATATATATATATATAGAGAGAGAGAGAGAGAGAGAGCAAGTCGTATATCATAATCACCATCATAGTCCTCTACATCCTCTTCGATCGGACCTACGTAAACCTCATACCTTAGAGTGAGGTTACAAAGTTTTCATTTATCAGTGCCTGATAAATCGGTAATTGATTCGATAACGAGGTTGTTTTCATATGTATTGAAATCTAAACTAAACGAAGCGTCATTAAATGATTTGTTACTTTCTACGATTGATAAAAATTGAATAGTGAACATTTCTTATAGTTCTTTTTATAACTCTTTATTTCCCGTTCTATTTCAGCTGTCCTTTCTGTTATTTCTGTTTTTCTCTTTCTTGTTTCTTTCTCATTATACTGAATAAACTCAGAAACGTGTGCGCGGTTGATAATAAATTCACACATTTTGGATAATGGCTAAATAAAAATTTTTACTGTAACTTCGTCTAATCGTTGAAGTATTATAGACAAGAATGTTTATTAATAAACACACAACATGTTTATTTGACTTCTGATTCGCGACTAATATTTGAAAATAATTTTATATTAATAATACCATAAAATACGAAAAATAAAAAAAAATATTAAAAATTAGCCAAACAAAAAAGTCAAAAAAATATTTAAAAATAATAATAAAAACAAATGTTACATAAATATTGCACTAGGAACAGTTCTCTTTAACAAAAAAAAAAAATAATATAATATATTACGCATCGCGCGTGAAATAGATAAACGTTGCATACAAATCGATAATGATTAATTAGGTCAAATCGTATATACCTAATAATATATTTTGTGTTATTAAAATATTATACATCTACCAATAATATATATAACATTACAATTTGTATTGTTAATAAATTTATTTCTATCTTTTAAAATTTTACCAAATTTTTATGTTAACAAAGATTATATTTTAAAGGTATATATAAAATTTGAAGTTAATCGATCCAGTAGAATCCAAAATCTCTTACTAATGACTTTAGACAAAATTTGATAACATATTCTAAAAGATCGTTTAAGGTTTAGTACGAGTAGATGAAAACAGAATTGAGCTACGATGATTTCTCGCTAAGATATTCAAACTCAAAAATTCTCAAAATTGGACTACCCAAAAATCGATTTTTAATATGTAGTATAAATAAGTTCAAAAATAACATCGGTCTTTGTTTTAAATTTTTCTGATTATTATTAAATAAGTTAGACCATTTCAAAAATTTCCCCTTCCTAAATATATATTATTTATAAAATCTATCATTATATTGAAATAATATTAAATTTATATAACTTAAATATATTAGCTTCGTTGTACTTTAATGTCCTAGTGTTCTGGTCTAGTGGTCAATACTTCGATTATAATTCAATATGTAGCAGGTTCGAACCCAATATAAGTTATTAAAAAATTGGCAAACAAAATTCAGTGATGTAATAATCGTAAGCTGAAAACGTTGTATAATATCATACCTGTTATATGATTGTGGCGCTTGTACATGTTGTTTGTTGAACTATTTTATAAGTTAGTAGCTTATCCGTGCATAAATAGATCAGAACATTAAGACAATAGTTAATCCAATCCAATCGTGTGTAAAAAAATAATATATAAAAAAAAGTTTGAGAAAAAATAAAAAAATCGGTGGCCATCGTGATTATATTGGGAAAACTATTTCAAATTTTTTCCATTTTTCGTTTTAAAAATATTTTCTATAATAAATGGAAAACTTTAAAATTAAATTAAATAGCGTCACCTTTAATTATAAATTCATTAAATTATGTGATTTAGAAACTAATCAGAAATATTTATGCAAATATTTTAGTATTGATAAAACAAGATATGGTGACAAATTAAGTGTTATTTTAGATGATAAATTTAAATTATTTTTACCTGATAGATTTTTAAATAGTTTTTCTCACAGAGAAATCGAAACAATCATTAAAAACACACAAGAATAATTCTTTTTGGTTTGTAAAGGTGTAAAACAACTTAATAATAATAAAATATTTTATTTGATTGAATTTGAATAGTTAAAACATATTTTATCTTTATTCTATAATTTGTATATATTCTTTCTAGTACGCATTTTTTAATTTATTTTAAATGAAAAAATATTATTTATAATAAATGATAATAATAAAAATAAAAACGGATTTATAAGGTTAGAAAATCCTATATTTGGAGATAATTTATTTGTTAGTGTTTTAGGTTTAAGTATTACTTCAAATTTAATAAATATTGAAACAGATTGTTTATTGAAAATTGAAGGTAATATAATTGAATTAAAATCTGGAAAATATACTATAGATGAATTAAATAAAATTGTTAAACCATTATTTATTTCTATAGAAAGAGATAAAATTAATATCAAATCTAATGTTTTTTTTTTTAAATTAAACGAAAAGTTAAATAAATATTTAGGTTTTGATTTTGAAAAAGATATGTATTTTAACACAACGAAAAATACTATAGTTGGATATTTTCCATTAAAATTTATACTACCTAATCCGGAAGATGAGATTAAAAATTAATCAAGAATGTAAATTTATTATTGGGAGAAACAAACATATACCAACGAATACATTTTGATTATATTCATTAAAATCGCTTGAAAAATATTTAATAATTACCCAGTCTAAATAAAGTCTAAATAAAACCACAAAAGTTACACTTGAAAACGGATTATTAAAAATATCATCTCTATTTAATAATAATAATATTGGGTTTGATTCATATTTATCTGATTGTCTAGGTTTTGAATATAAAGTAAATTATAATAATATTACAAAAACTAAGAAAAATATTCAAAATTATTCAGCTATAGATGGCCTTCTTAAGAAGATATTGAGACAGGAAAAACATTTTTTACTGCAACTGCTGAAAAAACACCAAATTTAAATAATGAAAAATATTTAAGCAACATAGAAGGAAACATATATTTTGATAATGATTTAATTATTAATATTTATAGATCAAACTATACTATTGAACAATTATATAATATTTTAAAAATGAATATAAAAGTTTCTGATAATGATTTAATTGAAATTTAAAGTAATGAAAATGATTTTATGTTTGGTAATATTCTTTGTGATAATCTAGGGATTAAGTTTGATAATTTTTGGCAAGTAAACCATCTAATATTCCCTCAGAATTACATTGTAATATAGTAGAAAAATCCATTTCCAATCACAAAGGAAACGTTAATATTCACTATGAAGAAGATCTTTTATTTATTTTTAATAACCCACAAGATAATTTTATCATAAAACCACCAGTTGGCGGTAAAATTAACTATAACTTATATACCTAAAAATCAGAAAAAAATTAAAAACATAAGATTAAAAATTTTTGACTTAGAAGGTAATATATTTAATAAATATACAGAATTTATTATTTATCATAGTTTAATAAATAGATGATGAATGAATTGAATGAATATTTAGAAAAGAGAATGTACGAGGGCTAATCAAAAAGTATCGAGACTGATAATATTTCTCGGAAACCGAGCGTTGAAGAACAAAACGATTTGTAAACCTAGCTTCTATGACTTATACTGAGCACATCTATTCGTATAAAATCTCTATAAACTTCTTCGTTTTGATTTGACGATATTTTTCTAAAATTTGTTTTTCACGTTTGGTGATTTCGTAATGAGTCCAAAAGAAGCGGAACTCGCTGCCACTCGAGGGCACATTTTCAGTTTTTTAATTGACATTTAATGGCAAAAACCATAAAATGTTGCATCTCTCTGAAACTGGAAAAAAATACAGACAAATTTTATAAAATCTTCAAAACTGTCAAGTTACTCTTGGGTTTATTACAAAATCGCCGTACTCGAAAAATATATTTTACAAAAATATCAGTAAAATCAAACCGAAGAATTTTATAGAGAAGCAATAAAAACAAATGTATTCAGAAAAAGTCATAGAAGCAAGTGATACCAATCCTACTGCTCTTCGATGCTCCTTTTCCGAATGATACTACCAGTCTTGATACTTTTTGATTAGCCCTCGTATGTATAACGCAAAAGTTATAATTTCTATAATAACCTTAGTTTATGTATACTTATTTTAAAGTTGTTTTCAACTACAATTAGATAATTAGGATTTACTTATAACCCAATTTTAGCAGCACTATTTCTTGTTAATGGAATTCTTATTCTCTTTGAAAAAAATATTAATCAAAACGAAAAAATATCAGAATTTTTTATAGTTTATACATTTTACAATCAAATATTATTGTTGTTTATAGCTCGAAAACTCACTGAAGAAGAGATAAATATAAAAGAAAAAGATTTTTTAGAAAATATACAATTTTTTCCTGGAGAAAAATATTTGAAAAAAGCTAAACTAAATGGTTATAAATATGTTGAAAATGTATGAATTTAATAAATTATAATTTTAAAGATTTTAATCTTTATAATTTTTTCTTTAGTAAATATGTCAAAAGAGCGTAATAAACTTGAGAACATTTTAGATAAATATAAAAATATAGAACCATTTTCATATCAGGAAACAAAAGATAATGATGAATCTATATTTCCTATCCCATTACGTTGTTTAATTGTAGGAAGTTCAAGTTCTGGAAAGACAAATTTATTGTGGAATATTAAAAACAAAATTTGAATTCCTTTAGAAAATCTTTATATTTTTACAAAAACTATTGATCAATCGATTTATGAGAAATTAGAAGAAGTATTTAATGATATAGATGAAATCGAAACAGTTATTTCTAATGAAGGAATAGTTTCTGTTGATGATTGTAAACCAAATAGTTTAATTATTTTTGATGATTGTGTTTTAGAAAAACAATCAGTAATGAAACAATATTTTATAAAAAGGTCGACATAAAAATATTTCTTATATTTATTTAACTCAAAGTTATACTGCAGTGGATTTAAACATTATAAGAAACAATTTAAATTTTGCATTTATTTTTAAACAACCTGATCATTATATTAAAAAATATGGGAAGATTTTATAAGTGATAATAAATTAAGTTTATTTAATTTACTTGGTAAAAAATGTTGGAAAAAATCATATGGATTCTTATCAATGGATATAACAAATCTCTATAATAAATTAGATCAATTTTTATGATAACATTAAAAATTAAACGTTAATCATTAATCATTGAATGTTAATTGTTAATCGTTAAATATTGAATAACAAATATCAGTTAAAGAAAATGTATTGAAAAAATGTATTTTTCTATAAATGAGAACACTTGAATAAATTCAAAACAATCTTAAGAAAAAAATTATTTTTAAAAATAATAATAGAATAGGTATTAAACATCATATTTTTCATTATCTAATCTGTTTATAATCCTTAAAAATTCCTCCTCAGCATAATCTTTTAATAATATTTGATTTACCCTATAAATTATTTATGAATGCTCTTTTTTTAAATTTACAATTAAAGTTCGTTTATCTAAAGGAGATAAATTAATATATTCATCTGAACATTTATATTCTTCAATAATATCATCATAATAATCCTTGTTGATTTCTTGAATTTTTTCTTTAAGTCTATTTATTAAATCAATAGGATTTCATATGTGAATCTTAAATCTCATATGTTTTACTATATAAAATCTTTCTATTTTTTATATATTTGTCTTGTCCTCTTAAAAACATATAAGAATTATCCTCATCTTTATTTTTAAATAAAATATATTGGTGCTTCAATTCTGATGTCTTAGGATTAACATTTCTATCTGGAAGTACTTTATCTAATTTTTCTTTGATTTCATCTATTTGATCCTGTGTTTCATCTAACTTTATTCCCATCAAGTTTTTTAAGCGCAAGTGTGTTTTATTTTCTTGTTTTTTGTACTTCTTTAATTAAAATATCAATTGCTTCATCTTTTTCTGTTAATGAATCTTTGTATTCTTTTTCAAAATAATTTAAAATAATATTGTTACATTTCAAATAAAATTCAGGAGATATCCAAGAAGCTAGGTCTAAAATTAATTCTTTTGATACATAAGTTCCTGTTAAAATTTGACAAATTGTTCTATTATTAGATTCTTTCTTAAACTCATACAAAAAGTGGGATTCCATGGGATTCTATGGGCAACTTTTTATGTAAGAAAATAAATTTTTAGTTCTTTTATTTTGAATCCAATTACTATATAGTTTGTTTCCTTGTCTACATAATTTAGTTACATTAAAAAGTCCTTTAATTTTATCTATGATCAAATTAAATTCACCACATTTACCATAATAAAATTCATTCTTAATCTGTTAAACGTATATTTTTTAAAGACATTTTAAACCTGAACTATTTTTTAAAAAAAGAAAATTTAATTTCAATTTGTTTTATTAAAAGTTAAATTTAAATTTGATTTCGTAACGAAAGAAATTTAACCTCAAACAAAAAGTTGCCCATGGAATTCCATAGGCAACTTTTTCTGTAAAAAATCATTTTTTATTTAAAATTTTTAAAGGTGCCCTGAAATTTAAAGATGAGCTTAATGGTTAAATAATGACTGAATTTGTTGGGTTAAGATCTAAATTATATTAATTTAAAGTATTTGAAAATAAAAATGAAATTAAAAAAACAAAAGGTGTGAAA